ATGCTTTTTTTTCTGCTTATTTTTTGTCAGTATTTTGGTTTTTTTCCCATGAAGCGGGGGTCTTGGAAAAAAAGTAAATAGTGGAATCGATAGATCTCGTCGAGATCTATCTTGGTATAGCGTTTTCACCGTTTGGTATAACCTACAGGAGAATCCAGTTGCGGAATACTCGAATCCAGGCCCAAGATATCCTACCTCTTCAAGTCTTCATTTTTTCAATTTTTTTTCCAAAATGTCCAGTTTCTCAATTAATCCTGCTAGTTTGGATATAATTTGTTTGGCACTCAAGAGATAAATTGGTTCATTTCAATCAACGTACCAAATGCAATTTACTTTATTTCTGGATAAAGAATATGGCACAACCAATGATAATAAGACTAATCTAAGGACTGGATGTTTTCGGAAAAATTGAAAAAAATAGAGATTTTGAAAGTTGTGTGTAATGTTTGTTTTGAATCATGATGATGTTGAAAGAGAGATAAGTGTGTTTTACAGCGAAATATATCAATTTCTGCAGAATCAGACGATGAATCCTTCGATAAAAGACTAAAGCATGAGCGATAAGATAACATTTAGGATATTAATAAAATACTGAGACCCTCTTTTATTACGAGCTACCCGTTAGTTTCATATTATAAACATACCTTCTGCTGTCTTTCTGCTTTTCGAACTTCAAAAGGTGGCAGCACTGTACTTCTTCATAGTGTAAACATCTCGACGATGTGTGTTTCTCTTTCTCTTCTCATATGTGACTAGTGTATAAGTGTGTGTTTGTACTGATATACATAGAAATAGAACGATGAAGTAGCTCAATAAGCATTATTTTCGACGATAGCAATAGAGCTATTTCGTCCAATTCGTCACATCGCGCTCGGTCACCTATAACAATGGTATACTTCTTTCTTTCTCTTTCAGTCAGTAATGAACAAAGTCCGTTCATTCAGCGTTTAACCCCACGTTCAACGAAAGGAAATAAATTCTACGATAAATAATCAGACATCTTTTTTGCCTTCATTCATTTCAAATATATAGATTGTACAAGATAAAATACGCACACGAAATCAATTTATACAATGAGCAACAAAATAGCAAATCAATATCCAGTGACACAACAGCCTGACATGTCAGAAGACTCCGAATATATACAAGAACCAGTTACAAATGAAGACAAATCTAAGCAAAAACAACGTCAATCAAATTCTTCAAACAGTTGGTTTACATGGTTTCTTTGTGATGATTTTGATCTATGTTGTTGTTTATGGTTATTGAACCGTAAATATTCAGATGCAAATGGTGATGGTGGTTGTTGCTCTTGTGATGATTCTGGCAATGGATGTGACTGTGGTGGTTGTAATGGATGTGACTGTGGTGGTTGTGATGGATGTGACTGTTAATTATATTTACTGTTTTTTTTTTATTCAACTCTTTACTTTATTATAAGAATAAAATATTATCATCATTTGTTGCTTATATCAGTCAATATATACAGAAAGGTAGAATAGCACAACATTTAATTAAAATAATAGGTTTTAGTTGTTAAAATTGTGAGACATTTTATTGAAGAGGATATTATTTCGTAAAGCTTAGTAAATTTTACATTGAATTTATGATTAGAAAAATATTATAATTTATTCATTGGTGTACTCTATTATATGCCTAATATGAAAGTAAATTTCATGACAATTATTCGATCCTTTCATGATTTTTGTATTATTTTCATTACGCATGTTATAGAACGAGAATACAAAATGAGTCATTTGTGTGATATTATCATTATTTAAAGCTTCATTCTTCTTGTATATACTAACTATAGTAGAAAGTACCTGCTAAAATTCCAAGGAGAAGACATTATATACTTTTATACTTTAAAGTACACGTGGTTCGTTAAAGTACGGTAAAATACAAAATTACGATGTGTCTCCTTTGTAAATTACACTAAGAAGTTCATATTCAGTTGCAATTTCTCATATGTGTCATTAATTTGTCCTATTAATTATATGAAACAACTCCATCATGTGTCATAAAAATATTAACTGCAATGATTTAGTTCCAGAGAGTAGTCTGAACGAAAGATGCAAATATTGGAAAATATTACGATATTATAACTATGTTTTAACGAATGTTAATTACTTAACTAAGAAGATGCACAAGATAAAAATAATCATAAGATAGATGAGTTTCATATTGAATATAGCAGCATGATAAATGAACATTGAAAATCTAGTTGCTCCAGAAAGATCATCACAAAAAGAAGTTCGAAATGAATAAGCTATGCTCTTTAAACTTTTTGACCATGATTATGAATCAGGTAGACCTAAACGTAATATAGCATCGAGTTTTTGTAATCATTTGTGCAATTTTCTCAAAAGTAGTCTAACAACTTATAAGATCAGTAGCTTGTTTAATGAGATGAAAGTGATTGATCACATATTGAAAAGTGACAATGAGAACAATAATTGAGAATAATATTAACAAACTACTCATAAAATTATTTTTTCTTCTTTTGTGATATTTATACCTCGAAAGATATTTCTATTAACCATTTGTGGCTAATAACAAGTATGCGAAATGGTAATTAAACACTCGTCTATCGAGGAAATTGTGCTATAATTATTGATAAAACTAATGCCTTATAAAACATATTGGAGAAAATTCAATGTCACGAGAATAAATTCTTTTCGTTTCGATGATTGCTAAATTGACACAAAATGTAGTTATTCTGGTGATTTTATTGTTTATTTTTTTCCTTACAAACTTCAATCTCAGTTAAATATTATCTTATTTACTCTATCTCAATGTCAATATATATAATAATATTCACTAACGTTCATTTTGCTTTTTTTACTTCCTTAATATAAACATACTCATACATAAGTCATATCTTCATTGTACTTTTTACATATATTTAAAATCTTGACTATCTAGAAGATTTGTTTCATGAGATAAAAATTATAACAATATAAAAATGATCAAAAACAAAAAAATTAAACTCAAGTTCACTTTCTAAAACTAAATAATTACAGCAAAAAGAAATCTGCTTTTCATTCTTTAATTATCTCCATTCGCTCCAGAACAAGTAACTCTTGATGGTGTAATAATCAATTGTGCTTGATCGGTAATAGATGAAAGAAAACATTTTAGATTGAGAACATTCATTGCTGAATGATAGACTAATAATTGCACGATCTCAGCTGCTGAACCTTCTAAAACAATAGTTGTTTGAGTTTTTTCTACATTAATATTTAGTGAAATAAATCGTTGTCAACTAACAAATGTCCATTTATCTGATTCACCCATGAGAGCATGTGTTGTATTATTTACATCATTAAATTGCTATAGAGGTGATACATACCAAAGACAAAATGATGAACTATTACCTTTATTAGCTGAAACATCAAGTGGATGATTATTATCAAATATTATTAATTGCAATGGATTTTCATATGACCAAATAACTCCTGAATGAGTTCCAATCAATAAAGGATATATTAAATAATCTCGTTGCGCAGTTGAAGCAAAAATGATGTAAAATGTTTGTTCATCTCTATAGAAAAATAAATAAAAAAAAGAAGATTAAAAGAAAGCAATAAATAAATTTACATTGTCGATTGAGTTGAATAAAGTTCTCCTTGTTTATTTCTATTATTTTGAGACCAATCTGAAATTAATAAATCAATCATAGTTATTGGTCGATCAGGTTTTAAAATTAATCCATCTTGTCGACAACATTTCATAATACGTTTACTATCTGTATAATTAATTGCATCACCTGGACTAACAGGACCAGTTGAAAGAATAGCTATAACTATTTCTCGTTCAGGAAGTGGTTCCATAGGTGATGGTTTATAAGCTGAACCAGGTTCATTTGTAGTCGACCAAAAAACATCTTTAAATGGAGCAATATCAAGAGCATCAGATAATAAACTTGAAATTCCAATAGTCCATTGATCTTCTCGATGAACAATATGTCTTGTATAATCAACTGATACACATGCTTGTGTTACGCGTGATATTTCAAGAGCTTGTAAAGCATGACGAGAAAATGATGAACAATATTGAATAGTTATATTAGCTTTATCAGCTCCTTCACTCGTTGACATTAACGATTGCCGATCAAGATCAATATCAGTAAGTAATGGAATAAATTTTGAAGATTGAACATGTAACCAATCTTGTTCATACATAATTAAACCGCAATCATGTGCTGCTTCACTTAATAAATCAATCCGAAATAAATCATTTCCTATTGGAAGAGACAATTGATTAATATTATCAATAAGAAGAGCATATTTATCAAAATAGACTGTATCCGGAGCCCAACATCGATTATGTGCTGCTAGAGGTATACTTTCCATTTGACGATATAGTGTTGGAAGACCATCAGGAAAAATATCACGACGAGATTTCCATTGACTAACACCGCCACCAATAGCTTTATAATACCACTATGAATCAAGTTGAATATAATGAAAAGGAAGATTTATTTTTCTATGAATATCTAACATTGTATCTTGATAATTTAATTGCGGCTCAGTGTTATAACAATATCAAGCTCCACCATCTGTATAATAATCAAGATATTTAATAGTTATATCATTTAAACGATATTGATTAGTTCGATTGTATGCTCGTTACATCATTTGTCTCCAATCATGAATTGCTTTATTGATATCTTCAGATGAATAAAATAAAATTAAAGAATTACTATACTTAACCGGTATAGTTATCATAGAATCCATGACACCATATTGCAATATATTATCTTGTTGATTTAATGATGTTGCCATAAATTGAGAAAATGATGAAATAATAACAACATTACCTTGTCCTTTTTTATTTAAATCAAATAGAACTACTGGACTACCTTCTAAAGAATTTCTTATAATTTCACTAGATGAATTCCAAATACCAGCGTGTTGACTATCAAAACCCATCATTACACCTAAATAAATACTTCAATTAAAAATTATATTCTATTATTCAAGAAAAAAAACAACTAATTTCATACCTTGAAATGTAAAATAACCTCGATTATCATTGCCATCAATTTGTTCAATATTAAATGAAGGAAATATTGTTCGAATTTGATTTTTATCAAGAAGTTTATTATTCATTAAAATTTTATCACCAGTATCTAAATGAAATGTTAGTGCCGATTGAGAATTCCATTGACGAATACGTCCAGTTATATTACTAATTATTCCATTACGATTTAAAATATAAATCAATTGAGTTTCATTCGAATTACCTAAATTTGGATCATTATCTTGTACCAAACGTGTATCGATTAAAGGACTAGTACTATCATTAGATGAATACCAACGATTATTAACATATAGAGCAGTACGAGATGAATGAAACCATATTTGATTATCAATACTAATATTATATTGTCCTTTTATTTGATCTATGAAAACTTTTATATCACATGCACATGATATTAATAGTAAGACAAATATCACAAGATGCATTTTAGATATAAACGAAGAATTTTGATGTCACAGATAATAGATAACATGATATATATAGATATCATGGACTCAGAAACAACAATTTTCTTGGAGATATAACTCTTAACAAAAAAGTCGATTTAATCAACTTTCTTATCAGTTGAACCTTTGTAGTTTATTACAAGTACATCAAAAAAACAAACAAGAGGTTAAATAAAAAGACAAAAAATAAAATAAAATTCATGTACACAATAAACTGAAGATTTTTTTTTCTTGACATGATTGCTTGATTCATCTGTCTTGCTATCATTATTTACTCATATATGAGAGTCTATATTATATTTTTCTTTCTCATAAATATCTCTTCCTGTAAAGCTGCAGAATTTTGATTTTATTTCAATAAATTATACGTTATCAATTATGGTTCATGCACCACAATTGCATCAACATTGTGTAATAAAAAAAAACCAAATACATTAGAAAAAAAAGCAGAACAACCTTACGCTAATACAGCAAGAAACATTCAATTAGAATCGATAGTTATGACTTAGAAAGGGGTACGATTCAGTTTGGTTTTCAGCTGAATTAATATAGCTTAGATCAGAACTTTGACATATAAAGTAAGACTAATGGATCACAAAAGATATCATAAGTAATAATGGAAGTATTTACATATCTCTTTTCCTTCCCTGTCTAAGAAAAACAAAATGTTAACAAATCAATTATATCCTTTAGAGAGTTAATTTGAATAAACTAAAAATTAATAACAAGTGAAAATTATGGATTTATTTATATATACATAATAACCCCCCTCCACGCCCGATAATGGAAGATTCCAGGTATATTGTCATGTCCAAGTGAATAAATATTTCCGAGTAGCCTTCAGTTAGGTTTCTTTTTTCTCAAAAATTAATAATTAAAATGATTTCCAAGAAAAGTGCGACAATTCCAAATTATTTGAAATATTTTCTAGGATTAAAAAGATGTAAAAATCATTTTAATTTCATATTCCATTGATTTTCAGATGAGAATCTCGAAAAACTTACATTATTTCTGATTAAATATGTTGATTGAGGTTACAATACATAAATTAATTAAGAAAGAATCTTCTACTATATACTAGACATCATTCCTTCGCGAGGGTCATGGATCGATCAATTATTTAGAAGAAAAGAATGATAAAGGTCATACGACAATATAAATAAAAATAGTTGTATAATTTTGTTGATTATAACATCTTTTCTTATCAAAAAGACAAATTCTTTTCGATGCTTAAAAATAAATTTTCTAAAAAAAAATGTTTAAATTATTCATTATTTGAATAGATAAATTTAATATCAAATCTTTTTATTTCAATTATTATTGGTATATTAACAATTGTTCTTCCATTACAACAAGAAAATTTAAGTGAATATCAACATAAAAATTCAAAAGCAACGGTATTCAATAATCATTTAAAATATATGCACTCATTACATGATGAACATCATCAAATTATATTAAATATTTATGAACAAGATTTAATGAATCTTATTCTTAAATAGGGTTTTTCAAATAATTCTACTAGTAATGAATGTATTTTATTGATTATTCGAACAAAAACTTTAAATATTTTGAGATAACTTGACCCAGCAAGAAAAATTTTTTCTTATATAATTATTAATTGACAGTGGTATTCACAATATCGAATTAATATATCTCATGTAGATTTATCATTATGAATTTTTAACTCAAGAATTTCTTCTATAATCAATTACAATTTATTAATATTCTAGCATGAAACATATTATTAAAAAATATTTATTTATTTCAAAGTAATTTTTCATATTTAATTTTAGATGATTCATTAGTTCTTAATTCAAATTGTTCATATACAGATTTTTGTCATGCATCATTACAAAAAACATATTGGACTAATACAGATGTTACACAATATTTAATTATACAAATTTATATCAAGCAAAAATTACAAATGAACAATTAGCTAAAGTACAAAGTTTACAAGGTATTATACTTCCGAACGGTTCAACTGTAGTTGCTTGAAATTAATTAACATTTAATAGAACTAAAAAAAGAATCTTGTAATTTAAGAAAAATAAAAAAATTTATTTTCAAGCAAACAGATACTAATTTCTCTTTCGTAGCAATGGTGAAAATCTCGAATTGAGAATCAAGTCATGGGTTTTGAACTAAAAGTAATTAGTGCAATAATTAAAGAATACGTGAAAATAGTGTAAAACCTATGAAAATAAAAAATAAGCTTTTTAAATTTGTTGTGCACTGTGATTGTTTAATTTGATATATTCAACAAATATATTTACTAGACACAACAAGATCGAAAATCATCCATAGAATCATATCAGTTGACTCCAAACAAACGAAAACAGCTTAGTCTAGATTCATACTTCGGAGGGTAGGATAGGCTCAAACACTTTTCTCTTTCCGTTAGATTGATAGAGTTGAGCAATGCATCATATTTTTTGTACTAACACCAATATTTTTCACCGATTCCGGTCTCTAATAATAATATTTCCTTAACCAAGCAGACTTAGAAAATATTGAGTTTTGCACTGGCAAATATTAGATCATGCAGCGGAAATGACTTGAAGTGAGGATCTTTCATTACAAGTGAAGAACAGTTGTAAGAAAAATCAAAGTCAGATAACTGGAATTTACCAAAACTTTTCGTTGCTTTCGATGCCTAGCCTTACATATCTATTAAACATTTTCAACAGTGAAAAAGCTCACGATGCAACATTAGTTTTTTTTTTGTAAAACATTTCTGCTTCACAATTAAACTTTTTTTTGGTAAAAAACGTTCGCATGTTTCTCCAAATGCAAGTTGCAATTTTTTTTCTGATCTGTACTAATATTACACATTGCAAAATTTTAGTTTGATAAAAGAGACACTAACTGTATTTCATCTAAGTGGCATTCATCAAAGAACTCATCTTCTCTCATTTCTAACTCTCAGATGGAAATTTTATTCTAGAAAAAAGATGAATCATTATTGTGTAAGAGCGACCTCTCTGGAAAAATAATCTGTTTTGCTCTACTCTTAAGACCTATCCATTCGTTTCCAATGATTTCCTCATCTGTAGAATAATTCAAATAAGAAAAAATTAAGCCTATTTATGTTTTTTTATCCATTTTAGATGACTTCCAGATACTTCTTTCGTACTTTTCGTCGTTTACTTCTATTTTCATCTTTTCATACCCCTTTATCGTTTCGAAATAATCGTCTTCTTTGGACTTCATTGGGTACAGCTGCTGTACTGAGTACAACTGTTTATAAAATATCCCCATTTGAAAAATTTTCTCGTTCATTTATTGTTCATGCAAAAGCACTTGAAAAAGATTTACCTCACAGTGGTATGAGAACATATTCTTTTTTTTTGTTTCTTTCATAAAAATCTTTTCTAATTAATTACTTATTCATAGAAAAACAATTATTTCAAGCTGCTCATGATGGTCGATTAGAAATTCTTCAACAGTAAATAATCAAGCTTTTTATTTTATTTCATAATAATAAACTAATCTTTTTTTTTCTAATAGATTAATTGAACAAGAAAAACTTGATGTTAATCTTCGACATCCACTTGGTTGGACACCTCTTCTTGTTGCTGTTATAAATAATCAAATTGATTGTGTAAAATATTTACTTTCAAAAGGTGCTGATCCAAATCAATCTGATGAATATACTAATATACAATCAATGGCAAAAAAACTTCATTGGAATCCAATACATGGTAAATCAAAAGAAAAACATACAAAGATCTTTTTAAATAATTTTCTTAAAAATTTAGTTCATACAAAACGTGAAGAAGAATTTTGTAATCGTCTTTCATCTCGAGCAACATTTAATGGTTTTACAGCACTTCATTATGCTGTATTAAATGATAATTTATCTATAATAAATATTTTAATTGAAAATGGTGCTGATCCTTTAATTGAAAATGAACAAGGACATTTACCATCTGCATATGCATTACCACAACGTAAAGAATTATTAAGTCAATTTGAAAAAAATGTTTGTTTTTTGTTTTTGTTAGAATTTAAGAACAAAATAAAAGTTTTTTCTTTTTCTAGGCAAAAAAATTACATGAAGATAGAATGAAAATTGAAAGACGACGAAGGCCACTTGAAATTCGAATAAAAGAATATATTGTTGGACAAAATTATGCTATATCAACAGTTTGTGCTGGTTAGTTAATTTACAAATAAATAATTATATTCAATGTATCGCACTGGTTTTTTTTTGTGTTCTTGTAGCTATACGACGAAAAGAATCTGGTTGGACAAGTGATGAATCACCATTAGTATTCCTTTTTCTTGGTTCATCTGGTGTTGGTAAAACTGAATTAGCTAAACAAATAGCAAAATATTTAAATGGTGAAAAAAATCAAAATCGTTGTTTTATACGTATTGATATGAGTGAATATCAAGAAAAACATGAAGTATCAAAATTAATTGGTGCACCACCTGGATATGAAAGTTTGATTAAAAGAAAAATAAGATTTAAGATTATCGGTTTTTTCTTTCTTCTTTTAGATTGGATATCAAGAAGGTGGACAATTAACTGATGCATTAAAAAAATGTCCAGCAGCTGTTGTACTTTTTGATGAAGTCGATAAAGCACATCCGGATGTTTTAACAGTTATGTTACAATTATTTGATGAAGTAAAATATGAATAAAAATAAAAAACAAAATTGACAAATACAAAATTTAATTTAGGGACGTTTAACGGATGGAAAAGGAAAAACAATTGATGGTAAACAAGCAATTTATGTAATGACATCAAATTTAGCTAGTGAAGAAATTGCTAATTATGCACAAGATTTAAGACGAGAAGAAGAAAAAAAACCACCATTAGTTAATGGTACTATGACATCAGGTAAACTAGTTTATTATTTGTAATTATAGATTTTAGAATTGATCGATAATCATATAATCATTATCATGATATTATTGATAGAAATCAACGAACAATTAGACTACTTATTTTAAAGTAACAGGGATCATTGGGAAGTTTTTATCAAAACTTTATTCGAATGAGAAAGAAAATTATAACAAAGTTTTTTTTTTAAAGAATGCTTCGTTTTCTTTAAACATGCTCTGAATCTGAACTCTGGTTCGAATTCCGAAACTACCCAACCCATTTAGACATTATCGAGTATTTGGATGATTGTCCAAGCGTTTCTTGAGGTATATAAGCAATCATGGAAGCATCCTAAGGTTCAATTAAGTTTGAAGTTGAGTATTTCTGAACATTGTTGGCTTTTTAAGGACATTTGCAGATCTCCGAATTTTGGATCATTTATTCCACTGTGTGTAGATCTACCAGAACTAAGCCTGAAAGTCTTTCTTTTGGCTTACTTCTACTTTCTTTTATTAATTAACTGAAAATGACCAAACTCGAACGTTCGGGTTTGGTATATGACTAGTTTTATCGAAATTACGATAAGTGGACAAGAAAATCTCTTGAAGTCACTAAATAGCTTTGGAATTAGGACTTATATCATTAGGTAAATCAGACAAAGCCTAAATTGGTGCGTTATTTTGATGCTTTCTTGTTAGAGTTCTGCGGAACAGTCTCCGAGTCTCGCAAGACATTTGAGATAGTTCTGAAAGTTTTCAGTACGAGGCTCCGAACTTGCAAAAGGTTTCTCTTGCAAGAGTCTATTTCTTCCTGAGTTGTGATCTTTTTCTTGAATTTTTGAATACTTCAAGAAGTATTATGAAAAATCGGAAAAATCTGGTATCCTAACAAACAAATATCTCTACCAGCTGGAACTTTCGATGTATGATATGATATCAGAAATTCAGTAAAACGATCATAACTTATGAAGAAACCATTTTAAGTTTTATCTGCTCTACTTAATTACATAAATCTTATTCGAAAAAATTTTCTATAACTTGATTTTGAAAAAACAAAATGCTTTCATCCGTTTTATTCTTAGTAAATAGTGATAGTCTTATAATCAGTATCGTGATTGTTCATATGATTATTGAAAAGATTTAATTTAGATGATACTAATCAACAACAAGAAGATGATGGAAAAAGTCGTATAACTGTATCGAAACAATTTAAAGATAAAGTTGTTAAACCAATATTAAAAGTAAAATTTTTTAATAATTCGATTAATTGTATAAAAATTTTCTATATAACTCTTTTTTTTTCTAGAGACATTTTCGTCGTGATGAATTTCTTGGACGAATAAATGAAATGGTTTATTTTTTACCATTTTCAAAAAGTGAAATAAATAAATTACTTCTAAAAGAACTCGAATTTTGGAAAAAACGAGTAGGATTTTCTATTAATAAAATTTTTGAAAAAAAAATCTCCTTTTTCGTTATTTTTCAAGGCTAAAGAACAACATAATATTGATATTATTTGGGATCGTAAAGCTCTTGATTGTTTAGCTGATGGTTATGATATTAATTATGGAGCTCGATCACTTAAACATGAGGTTATTTAATTGTTTTCATTCGTTTAAAAAAAAAAAAATTTGTTTGCTTTTATTTTTCATAGGTTGAACGATCTGTTGTTAATCAATTAGCTGCTGCACATGAACAAGGTTTAATTGAAAGTGGTAATCAAATATTACTAACAGCACAAGAAAATCTTTTTCATACACCATTTTCAAGTGGATCAGAATCTGAACCAATAAGTCAATCAGTTAAATTACAAAAAGTTGAAACAACAGGTGGACGAGGTTTAATCAGTGGTCTTTTTAATAGTACAAATAACAATAATCAAGCAACAAATGTAACTTATACCGATATTAAACCTGAAGATCATCTTAAAACATACCAATTTTAAAATGAATAGATATAATTGTTTTTTGTTTTGAGTCAAAAAAATAAATAAATACAAAAAAAAAATATACGAAATGATTCGATTCTTTTTTTTTGTTTTCAAGTAAAATATCATGTTTCCAGATGATTTTATATGAACGAAATAATGGACTATCAGCAAATCTATCATTTACATTTGATTTTGGTAAAAATCTTTCAAATCTTGATTGTCATTCAATAGCACTCAATGATGATGAAAAATATCTTTTACTTATTGGTAATCATGAACTTCAATTTATTAATTTTGAAACATTTATTACATCGATTGTTAATACAGTCGGTGATGATAATTCAATTATAATACCATCATCAACTGATATTGAAACAGTACCTTTATTTGATATATGTAATATTAATCGACCTATTGTTCAATGGAATCATCAAGATACAAATCAATATGCTGTAGCTCTTGATCGTCTTGTTCGTTTCTATAATGTTAATCATGGACGTATACAAGAAATTAATACAATTATTGATACTCATCATCAGGTAGTGAGAAAAAAAAGCAGTGCGTTGGCCGGGAGTCGAACCCGGGTCGGCTGCTTGGAAGGCAACCATGCTAACCGTTACACCACCAACGCTCCGATAGACTATGTTATATTTTGACTATTCTATCTCATGTTTCGGAAAACATGGCGGATGGTGCAAAAATTCTTCATTAATCTTATTTTCAGTTTAACATGATAAGAACTCGTCGTGGAGACTATAATTTTCTTGTTAGAAAGAGTAAAGCTTCTACTACAAAGTTGTAAAAATATTTACTGAAGATGAAACAATTTTAAGAATATGTTTGACTGGAGAAAAGCACCTTGCAACTTCACACATAATTAGTGATGAGAACTGTATTTGACCGATTTGTCTTGAATTTAGCTTTCGAAATTTTTAGGCACGTTATGTATGAGTGTAACCAACATGACGTAGACTTTCTAGTGGTATTAAAATACTCGAGTTATAAAACTACAGGTTCTATAGGAAACAGTTTTATTAAAAAACTTGATTTTCCTCCAACAACTCTCTAATGTATTTTTTCTCATAATGTCTACTAGAAAATGTACTTTTTCTTATAGAGCTCATTAAACGGACATAAAATAAAGGATTTCATTAACTTCGATTGTTGAAAAAAAAATCTTATTTTTTCGAAACGACTTTTCAGTCATGAATACTTATCTCTAGTAAAGGACGATAGAAAAATGTCAGTTTCGCATTTAATCAATAAATTGAAAATTTTATTTTTACCTATTTACAATGCCCTATCGTAGTGTTACAAAATTCGACAAAAGGCGGAAAGTAAGATAACTTTCTTAGTGGGTTGAAATTTCCTTCTAAATTTCAGAAGCGTGCAAAGAACTTTTCCAATTAAACATGTTCTTAGAAGTACTCTCTTCTCTATGATCCAAAGTTTTTGTTTTTTCGTGGTCGCTGTATAGTCTGAATTCAAAAATTGTCTTTAAATGTTAAAAATTCAACTGTACGTAACGAAAATAGGGAATCGCGTTTTTTTCAAATCAACTTCTTCATGAAAAAATAAAGTGCAGAAATGTCGTCGTCTCTCCAACTTAGTACGTCCAATCGAGCTGAAACTTTTTTCACATATACTATACGCTGTTCGGGATGGGTATGTTTTTGTTGTTTCAAAAAATATTGTTCTGCTGATTTTTGGTAGCTCTTACAAAAAACCAAGCTCTTTCATCACAGTGTCTAGTCCCGGAACAAAATTCTTTATCCGATTGAACATAACATCCTTTCACAGACATGGAGAAGAAAATTGGAGACATTTTTCGCCATTGTCATCCTAGTATTTTATAGAAGACAGCATTCAGAAACTTTCAGTCAATGATAACTTTTCTTCTACTCATCAAGATCTACTCGCAATAGAAATTTCGAAATTTTTCCGCTCAGCCGTTCTTCAAAAACTCCAAAAAGGAGAAAATATTCTTAAAACTTTTCAGCCTTGAGTAAGTTTTTCTAAAACTCTCAAGTCTCCATAACGAGCTTTTGTCACGCCATTCTGAAATTAAAATTCATGCAGAATTTTTGTACCATTCGTTAGAAAGAAAATTAAAAAGAACTTTTCAAGATTTTTGTTTTCTTTTTTGCTTTCTTTTAGCGTCCTATATCAACTATTTCTTATTGGCCTCATGATCCTTATTGTTTCTTAACGGGTTCACTTGATGGTCAAATACAAATGTGGGATATTCGACATTGTTCATCAAAAACACCAGCAAATTTAAAATTAACATTATCAACTCCATTTAGTATTCGTCATATACAACGGCCATCTATGGATTTAGATAAAATACATCCATCAAATGATTGTTATCAATTAGCTGTACAATGTGATCGATGTGTACGAATATATGATATGCGTCGAACAGATTCATATATATGTTCAATTGAACATAATCAACGTATAATGAATATTGATTGGACAATGCAAAATCATTCAATTGTTACACTTTCAATGGATAATTCATTACGAATATTTTCAACAAATGGAAATTTATTAGCTGAATCTATACCTAATGAACAATTACCTTTTGTATTAAGCAAAGTAATAAAACAACAACATAAAAAAAGAAACAGAAGGATTTACAATAATTATTTGAATATTTAGGTTCGTACAACATCTTATGATAATTTATTTATTTGTTCATCTTGTGATGCAATATCATCAACATTTGGTTTTACTAGTTGGCGTTGGGATGAAGATCAATATATAAGACCATTAACAGATCATATATTATCAACAAGTCCATCATCTATTAATGATTTTACTTTTGTAACAAATTCAAAATTTTTAACTTTATTTAATCAAATGTATTCATCACGTTCAAATAATCAATTAACAAAACATTTTCCTATTCTAACTTGGTGTCGTGATGAACAATTACGTTTAATTGATATGGATTCAACATTTCGTAAAACTTATCATGATTATAGACGAACAAAACAAAAAAATCAATCTGATTTATTGAATTCAACAGTTATATCAAAATCATCATCATCATCAAATTTATCTCGACAAAAACAACAATTAAATAGAAATAATACAAATAAAATAACAATGGATATTATTGAAGATGAAACACCTGAAGGTGCCGATAGTGATTTAGATGATAATGCTTTTTCTGATTTATTATCAACACGTATTAATAATACTATAGAACTATTAGAAAATGGAAATGAACATGATATATCTATAACGTAAGTAGTCATGTCATTAGGATCATTAAATTGAGTTTATTCGAATATTTACTTCAGAAAATTTCTTGTCAAAGCAAATTAGATAAATATTCTTCTTGATATAACGATAGACAGGTTTCAATTCTCTAATATTATATCAAGAATTTCCTATATCAATAGAATGATAAACCAAAAAAACAAAAAAAAAACTCACTTATTAATTCTCATAGAATTCAAGCTGATTCAAACAAACTTCAATCATTTATTGTACTAACTCGTATTTGAATATATCATTTTGTTTTTCGAATTCCGTACGATATGATTTTCAAGTACTCTATCCATAGATGGGACTGATCTGATTGACAAAAAAATTAGTCAATCAATATTAATTGGTAGCTTGATAATTAATTAATTGAGTAAAAGATACTATCAGCAAGAATTCATATTTCTTCAAAAATTTTATTATCTTATATTTTAGTCATTCCAGTTATTATAGAATATGAACTACGTAAGTGAACTATGACTATATATAAAAGAATAACATACAGAGTTAATTGACCAATATATCAATTCCATCGATGACTCTATTTCAATAATAAAATTGATTTGAGTCCTTCGAAGAATTCTACTTTGAAAGCTCTACATCTTTACTAATTCAAACAACTATTAACGTAATAATAATAAGTTAATTCTATGCTTGAAGCTTTATTTCTAAATCTTACCATTTTGTGAAACACGATCTAACAGAAGTGTTGAACTATAGGAATAAAAATTTGGAACCCCCGTTCCCATAGATCGTGACAGACGTTGTTGATATACGATCATAAATCATCTATCAATAGCCTCTCTCATTATAATATATATACTATTTTCTTATTGCATTTCTAGAGAATTAAATAAAACGATGGTGAAGAAATGTGTCCAAGAATAAAATAATCTTTCTATGATTAGCAACACTAAATACATCGTGTTTCACATTTTAATCTTGCAAGGATTGTGTTAATCGCTTTTTCTTATTCGCTTCTAGAAATATTGATTTTACAATTTGATAATTAAAAAATTTTCTCATATTTTACTTTAGTTCCACTCATATAGATAATACAATAACAATAATAACAACAACAACAGAAGTATCTATTTATAATGAATTAAATTCATTACAAGATACATATGGTCCATATATAGTTGTTGATATAAAAGATGAAGAACATCGAATGTGTGTAATTCGTTGTATTTATCCATTTGATAGTGCAGGATCATTTCTTATTTATTTATTTCTATCACGTCATTATCCAATAATATCTCAATTATTTATACGTTTTAAATTATTAACACATCATAATTTAAATGATGAACGTTTTAAATTATTTCAATTACATATTCAAACAATATTTGATGAAACATCAAATAAATGTTTTTATGATGGACAATTATGTTTACATAAATGTTTATTAAGATTAAAACATTTATTTGATTTATATTATAAACAAGAAAAATTATGTTCAACTATAATAACAAATAAATTAAATAAAAAACAATCTGAAGAATTAATACATAGTTTAGATTTTGATTCATCACATATTATTAATCATAATCATAATCATAATCATTATAATAATAATAATAATAATAATAATAGAAATTCAAATAAACTATATGATCAATTATCATCACCAACAATAGATATAAATAATAGTCAAATATCAAATAATCCATCGATTCGAGCAAATCCACGTACATGTGGTGCTCGTTTTATTGGTGGAACATATTTAATATGTTTTGGTCGAACATTAAATCTTCAACAACAACAACAACAACATCAGCAGCAACAACACCCAACTTCTGCACCACCAATTCTTAATAGTATCAATGATATGTTCATTAATCGTTCACAATCAATACACATGAGATCGATGAGTTTAACAGTAACAAAAAGTCGAGGAAATTCGAGTACAGATGAACATTCATCAAGGTAAAATTTTTTTTTTTAAATCTTCTATTTATTTTCTTTTCTAATATTTGTTATTTTTTTCAAGTTATCGATCATCAACAACATTAACAAATACAGTACAAATTCAACATGTTTTAAATAATCAACGAACAACAATATTTTCTGCTCCTGTACGTTTATCATTAGGTTCAAGTATACTTACTGATCATCAACGTATATCAACATCATCAACAACATATCGTCGTTCTCTTAGTCATCATATATCACCACTTCATTCAACAGTATCAATATATGATATGTCAATACTTTTACCAATAAGTAAAAAATTAGCTGATGATTATAAATTTAATTTAAATAATTTAATTGATATGTGTGAAATAAATCAACAATTAACAGAACGAATGGCTAAAAATGATTTAGCACATTGTTGGCGTTTACTTGCTACTTTATTAGCTTTACAACCAAGTTTATCAAATGATCATTCTTGGTTTCAAACACCAATTGCTCAAGGTAAAAAAGAAAATAAAAATATTTTATATAAGAATTAATGTCCTGCAACAGATATGACTTTTCACAATCGGAGCTAATCAACATTCAGCAGATACTTTTACAGACATAGTACGATCGTCAAACTTTTATTTTATATGAAAAAGTGTACTATATAGTTTCTTCTACAAACAGCAATAAGAAAAAAAAGAGAGATCATCTCAAATTCCACAAAGGAACCAAGGGATTCAAGATTCACTTGGTGTCTTTCTGGGTCTAAAATCCGATCAATTTTGTTAAATAAACATTTTCTTGTTGCTGATCATACTGGGATGGAACACAAGGTTGATATCAAATGTTATAATTGTGAATACATATATGGAATGCTTTTTCCATCAAGACAATACATATTCACCTTATTTTTTTTTTGGTAATTTATTTTCCTCTTCATGTATTCAGTTACTTCGTTATATGATTCATCATCGTCATCTGTAGATGAGTTTTCATTAAAAACAAATTCTTTTAGCAAAATAATCTCGCTTTCCACTTTTGTGACCTGTTTTCAAATATAATAAATAGCTCAATCATGATTGAATCGGTTTTCACTTCTATACTTTTATATAAATTTTAACAGTTTGAAAAAGTAAAAATATTTTGAAACGTCGAGATTTCATTAATTGCCGAATTCACATATGAAAACATATTCACGGAGTCCGACTAGCTGCAGGACACTAAATAGTACAAAAAATAGAATCGTTTTTTTTTATTCCTATGTATTTAAATTCTTCTTTTAGGTTTAATTAAACATTTAGTTTCACATTATATTATTGGTGGTGATATTCAATCAGCAAGTATGTTTTTATTAACAATGTTAGATACACCATTTATGAAAACAAAAAATCGATTAAAACTTTTTAATCAACATCATTATGATCCAATTCTATATGCATATGCAAATTTATTACATCGTTGGAAACATTTTTATAAACGAACACAAATTTTATATCAAATTGATTATAATTGTCAATCACCAGCATCAATAAATCAAACATCATCAACAATTATTTGTTCAATTTGTTTTCAACCCGTTATTGGTCAACATATTTTATGTGCAATATGTGCACATGGTGGACATTTAAGTCATATGCATGGATGGTTTTCATCATCAGAAATAAAACATCGATATTGTCCAGAAAAAGATTGTGCATGTCGATGTATTATAAAACAACAAGAATTATTAAGTATGAATACAGATCATATACAAAGACATCAACATACACCAATATTAACACCAAGACCTCGTGGTATTCGTACATCATCAACTAGTATTCGTCCTTTTTGAGATATATAATTTTTTTTGATTGTTATATTGATGTAAATGTCTATTCGTGTTTTCGTTAATAAAAGACAAACAAATATAAAGAATAGAGTATAATAGAATAAATGAATCGCACTACTTTAGAAAAAAAAAGCGGACAGGGTGATGGTAGAATCATGAAGATCAGTAGAAGAAGAGTTATTGAATGCTGATGTTGATATCTATGAGTCCTCATTCTATAGATTTTCTTTTCTTTTATTTGAAAGAGTATGCTAGGGAGAAAAAAGAATGACAAGGTAAATATCTTGAAAATCTCTCAAAAGATAATTACCTATTTATAAAATTACTTTTTTATATAGTAATAAAAAAGGTTAATTCAAAATACGAACTCTGACAGGCACTGCAGTTTCATATGCAAAAAGTAAACAATTGGTTACAATGAAGCTCCTTCGAAAATTCTGGAATGCGCAACTAGAAAAAACATAAACACAGAAAAAAAAACAAAAAAGATTTCTTACTATTTCTGAAGAAAAAAAAAGCATATTTTCCAAGCAGAAGATGAGGAAAATCATCGAAAAGTTTTGGATAAAACGAAATACCAAAGAAAAAAATCACAATTTTTGCTGTCGAACATTGACGTTTTTCTTTTTGAGAGGAACGAGCTTAAAAACGAAACACTTGACAATAATTCAAAAGTAAAGACAAAAAAAAAAGTCGACTTTAGTCATCAATATTAGCCTATTTTTCAAATTTTTATTTCCGATTAGAAATGATATACATAATGAATACTAAATTTCAACTAATCATTGTTGTGTAATCATTTACAAAATGCTCACATTCGATAGAATATAAAGAAAGTCTATGGTAAACTTTTGTTCAACTGTATTTATCAAATTATTTCTTCTTACTGAATTTATTCTCGATGCAAATTTTTATTGTCAGATTAAACCTAAGAAATAAAATTATTCATAATATATAGGTGATGATAGACTAAACTGGCATATATAATACTGAATCTGTTCATATCTCTAGGTATTAATATTCACTAAGGCAAATATTAAAAATATCTAATACTTTTAGAATTCTAATAATCTGTTCGCAAGAAACAACTTCAATGATGCTTTTAGATATATAATCTCAAAAAAATTTCGATCGATTGACAATCGGAATCTTATTAATCTATTTTTTTCAATTTCAAAATACAATAAAATAGTTGAGATGTCTAACAAGGTCACTATTTACTTTCATTTATTGTCAATATTAAATATTTGATATACTAGTAGCAAGAATAGCTTGTCATTTGATATTTATTCTTTAAATAGAAGAGTAACAATCAGTATTACGAGTAGTCGAAAGTATATAACACTAAAAGTTATGCATCCACATAAACGACCATTATCTTACATATATACTACGTCTCCATATACTATTCCTAGTTTTGAAACTGTATCATCTCAACCAGTTCTATTAGATGTTAATTGGTATAATTCGTGGCCAAGTACTAGATCAATAATTATTTCTGTTACAATGCTTATTTGTAGTTCAACTATTATTGGTCTTGATATTGCTAATATAGCTATTGAAGGAAATAAACAAAATGAAACTTCTAAATTAGGATCAGGAACAGCAACAGTTGGTGCAGGTATTTGGAGTGGATCTATATCGTTTGTCGCTGCTATTTTTATTATTATAATTAGTAAGTAGAAAATTTACTACTAAAATAGAAGATCATTATTGAAAATTTGGTAAATTCACTGTTTTTGTGATCTAAAAGGAATGTTGAAAGATAGAGAAATACTACAAGGATTATGCTAACAGCTTTTAATTCTGAAGAAAGTCTTTTTTTTTGTTGTTTATCTAAATCACATCTATTTTCATTTTTTGGTCTTCAATGTTTTATTTTTCTTTTAGTATTTATGGGCAATAAACGTATTGCTGCTACATTTGCATTATTAGCAGTTATTTTGGCTTTCTTTTTTACTATTGTTCTCATTGGTTTAGCTGGTAATTCAGTACAAAATAATCTATCGAAAACTGAACGTACAAGTGCAGAAGAAGTACAACATAAACTTTTAATTGCTATACTTTCTATTGCTCTATTTATCATGATACTTTGTATAATATTTTTTGCTATGTATATTAAAGTCTTACTTTCATCATCTGTTCGTAAAATAACAGTGCGTTGACACAACAGACAATATTTAATAGAATTGTTTTAGACTTTATCTTATACTTATTATATATATATATATTGAAATATATGTAATTTGTCTAGTGAAATTTTTTTTTTATTTCTTTTTTTCTTATAATTCTCATTTTGAATATGACAATAAAAAGTGTATACAATTATTAAGAACAATATAAAATAAATCTTAAATAAGATTCCCATTGGATCAATTTATAAAAATTTTATGATTCAGTTTTAATGAAAGAGAACGGCAGATGACTCATGTGAATACAATATAATTTTAGATATATTAGGCCTTGTCTCCACTAGAAAAATAATACAGTATTAACTTCGTATTAAAATGATGCGTATCTACACTTAGAAAGTTAATGCATCAATCAGAATCTAGAACGAAATGTCGCTTTTATTAATTCAATTGGAGCACATGAACCTAATGAGACTTTGATTGGTGCATTAACTTTAATTCGCTTTCGAAAGCGCATTAAATTTAATCCGCTTTTGAAAGTGCATTAAATGCGAATTATATTTTCTACAAATCAAGTTTCTTAATTTGGTATTAAATTTTCTAGTGGAGACAAGGCCTAATGGACTTATCAAAGACTCTGATTATAATTTAAGCATCAAAAGAAGGACAAACATTAATCAAACCTTCATAATTCAAAGTAAGGAAGTACTTATTATTAATAAACCTATTTTTCAATTTACATTAATATATCACGTACTATTTGATGATATAAAAGAGAATAAGACAAAATATATTGACTTCATTTATAATTTAAATACTTTCTTCGTTAAATATGTTTGCTGTATGTCCTCGTTTTCTAACACGTTGCTCAGTTGATTTTGGTTAACAAACACTACTAAAGGATATTGATTGGAAATTATAATGAAAATACAATAAAAAAAAAAATGATTCAACGGATGATGCAAAAGTTCTGCATTAATTTTATTTTCGGTATTGCATGACAAGAACTCATTGTGGAGTCTATAGGTTATTGTTAGAAAGAGCAAATTCTTTACTACAAAGTGGTGTAAAAATATTTAGTTCAAAACACTTATCGACGGCTAAAAAGTTTTAAGAACATGTTATGTGTGAGTGTAAACAACATGATGTGGGCTTTTCAGTACTATCAAAATGTTCGAGTTACAATAACTATAGGTTCCATAGGAAACAGTTTTATTAAAAACTTGATTTTTTCTCTAGAACTCTCAATGAAGTTTTTCTCATAATGTCTAATAGAAAATGTACTTTTGTAGAGGATCACTAAACTCCAATTGAACATAAAATATGAAGTTACATTGCTACAAAAAAAAAATCTTATTTTTCGAAGTGACTTATTAGTTGTAAACACTTTTTGCTAACAAAACTCGTTAGAAAAATATCGGTTTTGAACTTAATCATATTAACTTGAAAATTTTATTTTTACCTATTTATAATGCTCTATCGTACTACTAAAAAATCCGATAAAAGACGGAAAATAAGACTGATTTTGTTCTGCAGAGACATCTTTTCTGTATTCAGTAAGTATTTTGCAATCAAATATATTTTGACAACTTTGTTCTTTCTAATAAGAAAACTCAAATCTGCACGACGAGTGATTGTCATATTATAATGAAAACAAAATTAATGCAGAATTTTTGCATCATCCACCATTTCATAATATATTACTCTTAATAATATTTAAAAAGATGCAAGTGTTATTCTTCTATCAACGAACAATTAATCTGACATATAATGACCTCTTTCGTCGATTCCATAGCATCTTGAACACAAAACGAGAAAAAGCCAATGGAAAACAATTATGACTATTAGTCAGATTCTCTATTAACACTATATGTAATAAAAAAAAAGATCAAATTTTCATAGTAATTTTAGAATGTGATTATTTAATATATTCTAAAAACACAATGGAAAAAAACGAATATGCACTTGATTATACTCTTCAAGCAGAATAGTAAGACTAAAAGCTGTCAAAAAAAAAAAAATCTTTTTCTTAAATGATTGAATTATTTTAGTAATCTTCTTCGAAAACAATTTATACCTGGCATTATTGTTATTCCATCGGGAAAATCAAATCTAAGTAAATTTTTTTGTTCTTTTATTTTTGATTTATATATTAATAAAAGTCATTGATTTTTTTTTAAAGTATGGAATGGTGTTCATTTTATTTCTCAAGGTCCTTATGAAGGTGGTGTTTTTCGTTTTATAATTATAATACCAAATACATTTCCTGATAACGATAGTCCAGTCTGTTTTTGCAAGGCACTTTTTTTTCTTCAATAAAATAATTGTTTTTTTTTTGTTTAGCAAGTGCTTTTTACATCATCAGTATATCATCCTCAAATAAATCCACATACAGGTGAACTTGATATAAAACGATATTTTCCTGTATGGAAGTAAGTTTTAAGAAATTAAATTGTTTATCATTTAATTTCTTATTTCTATAGACGTAATGTACATCATCTTTGGCAAGTTTTACGTTATATTAGACGTATATTTCAAAAAATTGAAACTATAAATGCAGTAAATTCTGATGCGGCTCATCTGTAAGATTTAATCAAAGAATTAACAAGTCAAAATTATGGTTTATATTTTTCTAGGTATGATCATGATCCAGGAGCATTTCTTTTAAAAGTATCTGAATGTGTCAATCAATCAAAAGATAATCTTTATATTCCTGATTCATCAACTATTGATGATCCACATGCTATTATGTAAGTTAAATATATTACTTATAAAGAAATGTTCTTAACTATAATAAATAAATATTATTTTATAAGATTATCGAATTTTACTATGGCATACATACAAAATTATGATTACGTTAGACTTAAGATTTTATATCCAGTGATATAAGAGACTTTGATAAATATCGAATATCTCAAAAATAGAATAATCTTTAAAATTCCTTCTGATCCAAACCCAATTAATGATTTGAATAGTGAAAATGACTTCAAATCAGAATACAAGAAAATAAAAATCCTAGTTTTTCAACACTTAGATTTTGTTTAGACTACATAGAACAATAGAGCAAAACATCCTCTACAAAATGAGACATCACCGAGCTCTCTGAGATGTTTATTCGTTGAGATACAACAATTTGATTGAAGGTCAAAAAAATAATTTTCTTTTTATAGGAAATTAGAAAAAGACAACTTTAGGGCTTTCGTAAGGTTGCTGTATCGCAGCTAAAAAAAAACATCGCAGAGAACTGGGAGGCATCTTATTGTATAGAGAATTGTTTACTCTATCGTTCTATGTAATCTAAACAAAAATATATTTATTGTAGGCGTCAAAAAATTACTCTTTTAGTTTTCTGGAGTTTCTATCTTCAGAAGCGTAATACTAATTTTTATTTCCTTATTTTTCTTTTGGAAATAATTTGAAAATAAATCTTGTTAAATGATTTGAGTATCTTGTATTATAAATTGAACAAACCAATAAACAATCATAATTTCCAGAAGAGGGTGGATGTGATTCTCACACTCTTGCGAAATTCAGATTTATAGACAATAATGTCCTATGCAAACTAAAGCTTCGCATTGGATGGAATAATCCCATGGGATAAACAACTACTTATGTAAACATTTTTTTCTAAGAAACGATATTCCTATTTTTTTTCATAAAAGACAATATTCGTGTCCATTTCAATATAGTAAGCAAAAATAAAATATTATTCTATTCTGTAATTGCTTCTATATTGTAGCCATTAGAATACAGTAAAATGAATAATAATCAATGAATAAATAAACAAAAGACGTAATTCTGCCTCTCATAATAATTAAAAGCAGTAATTGATTCAGATCTTAGTAATAACTTAGAAAATGTCTTCTAAAGATTTCTCATCATCTGTTATTAAATGTCAATCTCATTCAAGGGTGGCTGTGGATGTCAGAAAAACGAGTAAAGGTCGAAGACCATATAATCTAATTTTATTGTCACATATCATAACAAACAATTCTTATCGAAATTTTTATTATTATGATATTAATTGAAGAATGATCAAATATTACAAAAAAATAGAGCATTGTTTTTTACTATCACTACATATAGAGAGAGAAAATACTTCCACCACTACTTTCTGATTGTTCTCAGTGGTATAATATTTTATATGATTGATCATGTGGATAAATGTACTAATAGGTATGATATTCCCATGAGACAGAAAATTATCGAAGGTTGTCCCATCGTATCCTACGTGGACCTTTGATTTTCGTAGCCTCATATTAGAACTAAATTTCTTTACGAGTCAAAGTAAAAAAAGATGAATTTCATTCTTATTTACATTCGATTAAAACACGATACTTGACACTTGAAATTTTCTCTTATGAGTTTATTATTTATAAAAATTTAAATTCTTTCTTATAGATTTACACCATGGAATGAAAGATTACAAACAGTACGAGAACATCTGTTAGCTGGAACGAAGGTAAATCAATGTTTAAATAAATATAATTTTTTTTTAAAATTCAATATAAAATTACTTTCAATCAGAAAACATTTTCTCATATTGGTACGAATCAAAAAGAGGATAGCACTTCGTGTAAGTGCCTAAATGCATGTGCACGTTCTCATATGATTTTTTTTTTTGAAAAACCCTACTAGAAACATTTTATTTTTATTTTTTTTTTTTGACTTATCTAATAAAAGTCAAAAATAATGCTTCTTGTCTTCGAAATCCTTAGTTAACAATAAGATTTGATTTTTGGTTCACTTGATATAGCATGTCTTTTTTTACTCGTGTATGATTAGATTTATTTATAGAAAAAATTTTTCTTTTTATTATTAATTTTTATTCTAGCAAGCTTTTGATAATATTCATGGTTTATCATGGATGAAACCAGGTGTTTATCAAATATTAGCACGAGAAGATACTTTACCAAGTCATCAAAATTAACTTTTATACACAAAAGAAAAAACGTTTTTTTTTTTTTGTTGTATTGTATTTTTTTTTCATCTTTTCCTTTTCTTTTTACTTATTTATTGAATCATATTTGATATAATATCTTATTGATACTTAATTTTTAGATCATGATAAAATCACCATTTCCATATTTTACTCTTGGAATAATTGTACGTGGTTTTGGACGTGGTAGTAAAGAACTTGGTTGTCCAACAGGTACTTAGATAAAGGCAAGTTTGATATTTAAATAAATATTCTTATTTAAATTTTTAGCTAATTTAGATGAAACTACAGTTGAAAAATTACCATCATCAATTGATGAAGGAGTTTATTATGGATGGGCACAATTATTAACAAAAAATAATAGTAATAAACTTTATAAAATGGTAGCTAGTGTAGGAAGAAATCCATTTTATAATGTTAAAACAAAGACATTAGTATGTTAAAAAAATTTTCTTATTATTGTTGTCGTGTTTTTTTTTATTCCATTCAAATATAGGAAACACATCTAATGCATGAATTTAAACATGATTTGTATGGTGAAAAATTAAAAATTGTTCTTCTTGGTGAAATACGTAAAATGACAACATTTAGAAATACCAGTAAGAAATATTAATATTCATTTTTTTTTAAACAAACAAAAACAAAATGTTTGTCGTTAATATACAATTTATCATCATTATCTCTTAATCGTTTACCCCCTGACACTAACCCAGTAGAGTTGATGCTGAGTCAACTAGGCCAATAGATTATACAAGTGCTTATTATGATATTGATATGGTTAAATTTAAGAGAAGTTATTTCATTGTGAAGATGTAGAATAGATCATAAATAACATTAAAAATTGAATTCATTGTTAATTTAATTTTTTTATTGCAGTTATGTTATTCAGAGGTGTCAGAGCAAACGAGTTGATCTTCCGATCTTGAGAAATTTTCGTTTTTCCTTCGCGAAACTGAACGATTTTCTTCATTTTTTTTTTTGCTCAGCAATTTCCACAACAAGAATCAATCTCCATCAGAATTTTGGTGACTTCGGAACACTGTTGACGTTATTATTTTATCTATATAAAGCAGAAAACCTATTTATCATGTTTTGTTTTTTGAAAAATAAGTCATCTCAAAGAATAATGTATGGTGAAACACTTGCAACGCCTGCTATTTTTGGATTGAAATCATGTCTTTCGTTTTGAGAATCGTTAGTCTTCATTTTCTTTTATCATATGGAGTCATAAATTCTTATTCGAAATCATTCATTTCTATTCGTTATAAGTATGCTAATATTGATATGACCTCCTGCTGATTCTTGTCTCCTCTTTCCTGTTTATTATCTTTCTTCTATATCATCAGCATGTGTTGTATGTTGAAAAATCACACTCTAGAGATATATAGTAGCTCAATAAACATAATTATCGAAGGTAGTACTAAGTTAGTCATTTGACGTATCATTACAATAAGGTCTCGCCCAGAAGAAAAGCCATAACAGAAGCTGCATGTTTATATTTTTTTGATCAATAATGGATTACTTTGAAATGATCGTAGAATGCTTTTTGATTGGCTATTTGTTCTAATAAAATTTTTAGCAGAAAGATTGTGCTATTTATGAGAAAAAACCGATGGTCCGAATGGTTTGCTCAAAAATTTGCTTTTCACATTCGGCAGTATATTTTGTCAGATGGTGTTATCTTTAATAAATAATAAAACTCGAAAACAGTCAGTGTCATTTTGATTGAAATCTAACATTTTTCTAAATGAAATAGTTGTGAAAAATGCTGCTTTTACATCTGTAATTAAGAAATCTTTTAAAAACTACTCCACAAATAGATTATTTCCGTAGTAGTTTATATCAACCTCACAAACACTAGCATAATTAGTTTGTGAAACTAAATAAAATAAACAAAAAAAGAAAAAACATTGTTTGTTTCGACTAAAAAAATCTTAGACAAGGAATGATAAAAAGCAGTTTAATTTTCTATGAATTTGGAACTTATCGACAGTTCTATACAATATTCGAAAACTGTCTCGATCCGATATTTTATTACTCTTTAGAGATAGTTTCTGGGAATGGAACAAAAATAATCCCATAGGAGATAAATGATTAAAGAAGAAAAAAAAATGACGAAATTATTGATGTAAAATAGATTTTATTTCCTTATAGATTTTTTCAAATTACTCCTAGGAATATTTTATAATTACACAGAACACATCATGTTATTCGTGTAGAAAGATTCGATTATATTTCAATAGAAGATTATAATTCATATAAAAAAAAAAAAGACGATAAACTACATGAAAGGTAATATAAATAAAAATTACCTTTAACTTATAGTATTTTTATTAATTCAAAATATCATAAGTGACACAAGAACTTCAATTCAATAAAAAAAAAAAAAGTAACCGGAATTAATAAACGAGAACATAGTTACTAAACTCATAACTTTTCGTCTACGTTAGTAAAGAAACATAGTAATGAAACCAAAAGTGTTTGTCGAGCGCGTAGTACTTCCCGTCTAGCATCAAGTTCATATATCCGGTTTCGATACGAATAGCATCTTATATTTTTGTCGTCTAGGTATCATTGTTATTCATTAATAATCTTAAGTAAATATGAAATTATTCTTTTTCTATTGAGAAATATTTTAAAAGAGAAAAATTCCCAAAGCAATTTTTTTTCTCTTATACGCTTTACTTTTATCAATAATAAAATAGGAATTCTATCTGCAAAAAAATAACATAAAAGCTTTTTTTATCAGCCGATTTTTTCAGGTAAATTTCCCTATCCGGAAAAAAAATCATATTTAATAGACTGCATAATTCATTATTAAAATTCTTTTTATTATATATGCTTCATTTTTAGATGAACTGGTTATGGCTATTCGAAATGATATTTCTAAAGCTCATCATGAACTTGATTCTGATCAATGTCGTCAATATTTAAATCATCCATTTTTTTACTAAATAATTATTTTTTAATTCATATCGAATAATAAAACAAAAAAAAAAAAAAAAAGGAAAGAAGGAAAGAAAGAAAGAAACTATCTTTATTCATCTGCAAATTCCATTGATTCATCATAACGTGTAGTAGCTGATGGTTCACGATGATCAACATTAAATATAGGATGACGACCGAATGTAAAATTTTCAACACGTTTATAAGCTTCAGATCTTTGTAATGGACCAAAGATCATAAAACAAACGCCAAATATCGATAAAATCGATAAAACGAATATAATAACAAGTGAATTAGGAAATAAATTATTTGTTATAGGTGTTGATGTAGATAATGGAATTTCATATGTACAATTTTCAAGTATACCGTTAATAGATATATTTGCACATAGGATTGTTGATGATAAATTATTTTGAATGTGATAATGGCTGTCATTACGAATGCGTATCAACATTGCGTATATGAATACCGATCAGTTAGTTATACAATACGTAATAGTTTGATGAAATATATATATATACAAACATAAAGTCTGTCTCGTAATAAAGCTGAAGATCGATTTCAATCAGATTGTCTTAATAGTTGTTTTGTTTCATAATCATTTTGCCATCATCATTTTTCTTCTTTTACAAATATTCATTTAGTCTACAAAAGAATTCAAATAAACGAGAGCAATAAAAAAAAAAGGAAAAAAACCTAGAAACAAAAAGAAAACGGAAACTGTGTATTTCTATGTCATTTGTAAAAAAAAAATGTCAAATCAAGCAAAAAAAAGAAAAGATGATAAATTAGTTTCTTTTTTTTGCTCACTTATCTTGAGTGTTCTACATATTTAAATACTATGTTTCCTTATTTCTTGTTTTCCGAAGAATGAAATCGCAAACTAAAAAGACATGGAACATAAATATTTCTTTTATCCTATGCTCTATTCACGTTACACATTGTTAACAAGAAGCGTTTGTAAAAGGCAATAATTACACATATATATATATATATAAGCATGTAGATAAATAGGCGCAAGTAAATAATAAATTGGATACTACAACTGGCTCTCATGAGGTTACACGATAGCAATATTATAAAACATACAGACGACTGGCTCTGTTTTCTTTAATGTGGGACCAAGCGTATAACGAGACTTACTTTTTCTTCCTCTCTCTTTTTCTTTTTCTCTTCCATTCGATGTCAGCGACAAATTCAATATTCCGATCTACAGAGATAGAGAGAAGGGGGGGGGGGGGGGGAGGGGAGAGAAGAAAGAGAGAGAGAGCGGAAACAATGACGAATTTAGAGGCAGAGACAACGAGACAGTCTGCTCCTTTTGAATTTGTTTTTCAATTTTTTTTTACAGTAAAATCGAGCAAAAATTGGTTTCATATTACACTCCATGAACTTCGAAAACTAGGTTTTTTAATGCATCATTGGTCACTCTCCTTTTATTAATAATTTAAAGTTGCCTCTAAGCGAAAATTTGAATGGCGAGTATTTGAAAAACAAGCTTGGCAATAAAAACAAACTTAGTATAGTATTCAAGAAAAACAGCTAAAATGAACTCAAAAATAGACATTTGACTTGATAAAAAAATATTATTGTAAAAAGTCATAGATGTTATACTTGTTCAATTTACTTTTCTTTTTTGTTAAATATAAGACAAACTAGCAAATGTAAATCAGCTATAACTTGTTGATTTTTAATTAAAGAGTTTTATATTAAACAAGATACTAATGCCCTCTATGGAATTGAATATTTTTTCAAAATAAACTTATTTATTTTTGAAAATCTAAAATATTTCAATATTTTCTTACAATTAATATTTGATAAAAAGAATTTTTTTTTTCAAGTTTCAGAATCCATATAAAAATATTTCTAAGTGTTAGGTAAATTACGGAAATAATCCATTTAAGTTTTATATTGTTTATTTTGTTTTAATATCAATATTGTCAAGTTTTAAAAAAAACGAAAGTACATGTCTGACACTTCCAATGATATAATTGTTCTTTCTGATGAAGAAGAAGATATTAAAATTGAATCAGTTATTTCACCAAAACGTTCTAAATCTATTGATAAACCTCGTCCAGTTCCAATCAATACATCTTCAAAATCACCTATAAAACGTCATGCACCAATTCTTGTTTTAACTGAACCAAAATCAATATCTTATGGTATTCAACGTGGATATAAATTAAAACATATACATGGTGTAAAACGTTTAAGTACTGAAAATGAATTAATGTATCTTGTTGAATATGATTTATGTGATGATTATGAATTTGTACCATCAAATATTTTACGTCAATATTGTAATGAAAATATTCTAATTGAATATCTTGAAAAATTAACTCAATTTATTGATTAAAAAAAAAAAAGAACAAAAGAAGATATTTTTGTTTATTTTCCAGATAAAATATTCATAAATATGTCTTCTATTGTATATTCAATGCCATGTTCAATTGATATTCCATCAACAACTACCAGTGATATTAAACGGCATTTTACAAATTCAATTCAAATAAATAAAGATAATAATAATAATAAATTAGTTGCATCATTTCGTGGTCGACCATTAGATGGTGAACAACTTAATATACCTAATGATTATATTGGTATTCTAGCAAATTCATCAAAATATGTTTCATCATTTGATAAATTAACTTATTTTAATTTGGATTGTTCAACATCAAAAAATGATTGTATAGCTCGTAGTATAGAATGGCTTTCATTAGCAAAAATACTTCATGAATAAAAATAAAAAACAATTTTTCTATCTATTATGTGAATAAAATTCTTCTGTTTGTCTATTGTAGATTAAAAATTTAACATCATGGGTGCATATAAATATCTACAAGAAATTTATCGTAAAAAACAAAGTGATGTCATGCGTTTTATTTTTCGTATTCGTACATGGCATTATCGACAATTAGCTGCTATACATCGTGCACCAAAATCTACACGACCAGAAAAAGCACGACGTGTAGGGTATAAAGCTAAAGCTGGATATGTAAATAAACAAAATTTCTTTTATTCATTATTATATATTTTTTAACATCAAAAAAAAAAAAATTTAGGTCCTCTATCGTGTACGTGTTCGACGTGGTTCACGAAAGAAACCAGTACCTAAAGGTCAAGTCTATGGTAAACCTAAACATCAAGGTATAAATCAATTGAAATTTCAACGTTCATTACAATCCGTTGCTGAAGAACGTGTTGGACGTCGTTGTCCAACATTACGTGTACTTAATTCATATTGGATTGCACAAGATGCAACATATAAATTTTATGAAGTTATACTTGTTGATCCATGTCTTAAAGGTATAGAAATCAAATATATTGATTTATTTTAGAAATTATTTTTGCCTTTTTTTTGTTTTGATTAGGTGTTCGTCGTGATCCACGTATTAATTGGATTTGTAAAGCAAATAAGAAACATCGTGAATTACGTGGTTTAACATCAGCTGGAAGAAAATCTCGTGGACTTGGTCATGGTCATCGTTATTCACTTGCAACAGGTGGATCACGTCGTAAATGTTGGAAACGTCGACAACAACTTAGTCTTCGACGATATCGTTAAAAGACAACAACAATATAAACATGACAACAATATCAGAAAAATTTGTTTTTCATTTGTTGTTATTGTTGTTGTTGTTGTTTTGTATTATTCGATCGAAAAATTAAAGAAGAAATTAAAGAAAAAAAAAATTTGATAAACGATTAACGTTTATAAATATTTAATTAAAAAAATTTTATTCTGGTTGATGTTATTTATTAGAAAATTTGATATTTAATATTGTCAAAGTTCAAAATGAAGAGAAAATTCAGTTTCGGTACTATTTATTTGATAATATGTGTTAGTTTAACAATGAGAAATAGAAATTTGATCTATAAAACGTGTTCTATTAGTTTTGACAATATACATTATTGTTTTATTGATATAAAAGCATAGAATAAAGTTTGATAAGTAGTTTCATGTTACAAAAAAATTAAAAAACATGTAGAATACGGAACGGTTTGAATTTATTTATAACATACAATCAATACTATTTAGAGGAGACGGACAAGTCAACTGTTGTCTGACATAAGTCAAATCGAGTCATTGACTTGAACTTTTTTCAAGTTTAATTTTTTAATACGAAAGGGAGTGACATATAAATAAACTTTCTATACAAAAGTTGTTCAGGTTTTGACAAGCTTTCAGAATATCAGATTATGTCTTAACAAGCACTACTACATCGAATAACAAACTAACAATAGTGTTTGTTACGAAATTTCATTCTTTTTTCTGAAAATCATAGTTTCAGTACGGATGAAAGCAAAACAAAGTTAAAAACAGTCAAATATTCACTAGACTTCAGTGAAAAAAAATTTTTCGATCCGAGAAATTTTCGAGAAAACCATCATTTTGTTCAGAGTTCAATGCCAACTTCCAAATATGTGCATACTTAGAAAACAAAAATTGTGCAAAACACTTAATCATCTAAAAACACCGTAAAATTCAAATACTCTCCTTCGGACAAAAAAAAGTCCCTGTTTCCAATTCATTTTTTCATCACCTAATACTCTGTATTAAAAAAACAAAATATACTACAAGATGCAGCGTGAAAAGTTCTACAATCTACAAAGGACAGCTTATTTTATAATTGCACTTTTTGTTTTCAAAATGGACAACATTCTGAGCTACTAGTTTTTGACTCTTCGAAAAAATAATTTTTTGGTACATGATGAATTCCTCTTCTTATGTCATTAATTAATGAATCACTGTTTTTAACTTTATCCCTTTGTTCAGCCATCGATTATGACTTTCGATAAAACTCATTAATCAAAATAATAAGAAAAGAAATCGATTGTGTACCAAAAAAGGATCTTGTTCGCAACGTCAAAAATTAGTCGCACAGAGTTTTGTTCATTTTGAGAAAAAAAAGTGCAATTATAAAATAAGCTGTCCTTTGCAGATTGTAGAGCTTTTCACGCTGCATCTTGTGGTGTATTTTGTTTTTTTAATACAATGCATTAGATGATGAAAAAATGAATTGGAAAAAGGTGCTGTTTTTTGTCTGTGAGAGACGATTTTTTTCGAAGTGTCAAAAGCTAGTGGCTCAGAATTTTGTCCATTTTGAAAACAAAAAGTGCAATTATAAAATAAGCTGTCCTTTGTAGATTGTAGAACTTTTCACGCTGCATCTTGTAATGTATTTTGTTTTTTTAATACAGAGTATTAGGTGATGAAAAAATGAATTGAAAAAAGGAACTTTTTTTTGTCCGAGAGAGAGTATAAAGAGAAATCCATCTTTTATGAAATACTGCAAGTATATACTTGATTTAGCCATAGGTGATATTTATTGGATATTTTTTTTCTACATGAGGTTATTAACAGAGTGGAATGATTAGCAGGCATTCTTTTATTGAGGCAATGCAAATAAGCAAAGCTTTCGGAGTTAACAAGACATCATTATTAGTGCTTTTCATATATGATATACACAGTTTTTCTTTCTTATCCTCTTTTCTTTTCATTCTGAACAGTACGAAAACGAAATTACTCTTTCCTTCTCACAATAATCAGAGCGAAAAGAAAAGAAGAAGAAAAAATTGCCTTTATCGTAGATGAAAAGCACTGATGACGATGTCTTGTTGACTTCAAAAGTTTTGCTGCTTTGTATTGTCTCATTAAAAGAATGTCTACTCTTATGGATTTATTTCATACACTCATATTATTTATCTACTGTATAGAAATAAGTGGTTAGAGTGTCGTGTTATAGACTGTTATCAGCGGAACAGCACGGAAAAAAAGAGTAATCTTCAAACCACACATCTGCTTTACGAGCAGTTGTATTACCACTATATTAGAAAGAATATTTTCAGTCCGTCTTTTAACTGAACGGAAATATAGTGGTTATAACATATAGAAAGAACGACTTAGACATACAGTTACGACAAAAATTACTCGTACGATTTCAAGAACGATGACATTTTTTATTATTCATGATTTAAAAGAAGTTATTTATAAAGTTATTACAGAAAGGAAAGAAAAAGTGAGATACACGAGCTTACTGTTTACTTCATGGTTCAATTCAATTGAGTAAGTACACTAAGTTATTCAAAAAGAGCAAATCTTTATTTTGAGACGTTTCAATTAAACTTCAATCTTAATTTTAACAAGAATAACTTTTTTTATGTTTCCTTAATGAAATATTCTATCATAAATCATCAATATTTTCTTCATCTTAAATAAAAACTATTAAAACTATTAACGATATATTTGTTTTTGCTTGAACTAAATCATCTATATGTGATGCTACATATGATAAACATTTTTTCATATTATCTTTATTCACATTATCTGGCATTGAAAATCGATGTTCGATAAAAATTTCTTCGTTGTTCATAAATAATACCAGAAAGATAACACAGGGATTAGCACCAGTACTAGCTAAACAACCTGTACGTAAATCATATTTGTCCATTCCAACATCAAGAATATCTTTTTTTTTAGCAGAAGTGGTGGTCATTGTTTAACAAGTGTGGAAAATAGTTCAAATAGTGATTAAAATGTAAATTCAATCAAGAACAAAGAAAAGAATCGTTCTATATATGACGTCATCGTCTTTCTTTCGTGGATATATATTCATCCAAGTGTGCCAATCTATAATATTATGTATTCAAGTCAATTCACAAATAGTCAACAAATAAAAACCTTGGATACGAATTTCCACTATTTTATTCTCCATATCATTGAATTTTACAATTCATGTTACTCCGTGTATAAATAGACAAATATATACTTATTTTTTGTCTTTCGAAGTTTTATATTCTGCAAAATAGAATTGATTGTATCCATCAGAAATTTCTTTATTACCGATCTAGAAGTCTTCACTTGATGATGATCTATGACTTTTTTCAATAGAAAATTCTAACAGATATGTCTATTTGGAAAACAAATTAAACAAGTTTATTGTTACAAAAAACAATCGACAAAATAACTAACGGAAAACAGAATAACAATAATAAATTGTTTTCTCTTAACAAAGCCAAATACTCAGCTGATTATGGTAAGAAAATTCAATTCGAGTCATAGTTGAGTCTTGTAGGCGATCGATCTTTGCTACAATTGCTTGTTTAGTATTTGCTTTTACATGTGGTTTTAATCTGGCATTACCATTTTTATTCATTTGTAATAGTATTAATTCACGAAAACGAGCCTTATCGATCAGCAATGCCATTACAAAATCAACCATCTGTTTTTCTCTTATCAGTTGTTGCTCACCAATAGCGAGATAATGCACTTTGGGTATGAGTATATTTAATCGACTTACATCAAAATCTTTACGTTCCCATTCATAAACGGTGAGATGAACATGTGTGATCATTGGATACCTGCCAGAACAATGAGAAAGATCTCTCCATCTCACATTGAGATAGGAAAGACGAGGTGATACATCCAGAATTATTTGCAATGGTGTATAGTGCGTTAAATTCTGATAGGGAACATGTTGTTTGAATCGAAACGTCAACGAACGAAGATGATGACATAAACTAGTGTGTATTGGAGTTACGACAATTTCTGGTTGATTCTAAAATTTCAAATGATACATAATCTATTTACTTATTGCATCCTTTTCTATTTTAAAACTTAGAATATAAAAGGAAAATGTTAATGTAAACCAAAGACTAACGAGGAAACGTTTTCGACTGTCAAATCACTTTTAGGTCCGGACTCTGTGCATAAGGTAGACCTCAGTGAAGTATGAAAAATTCCAAAAGGATAAATGTCCTTAGGCCTTCTGTCCAGAGTTCTAGGTATTTTACTGGAATTTTAGCTTCTAGCATGGTATATACCAACAAATCGAATGACGGTATTTTGATCTGAGATTTTGTCCACAGATAGGTCTTGTTGTCAGTAGAATGCGCTGAAAATTTCAGCTCAAAGGAATATTTTCTTTCTGAGATATTAAAGTCCCAAAATACGGGAAATTTTAGCATTCTTCGTGGTATATAAGTGATTTTTGAGACTTTAATATCTTGGGAAGGAAATATTGTTTTGAGCTGAAATTTTCAGGGTATCCTACTGACAACTAGACCTATCTGTGGACAAAATCTCAGATCAAAATACCGTCATTCGATTTGTTGGTATATACCATGCCAGAGGCTAAAATTTCAGTAAAATACCTAGAACTCTGGACAGAAGGCCTAAGGGCATTTATCCTTTCGGAGTTTTTCATACCTCACTGAGGTCTACTTTATGCAGTGTCCGAACCCAAAAGTGATTTGACAGTTGAAAACGTTCCCTTGCAGGACAAACAAAAATTAACAATGAGAACATTTATGTATGCTCATATGAAAATAATGACTTACATTTATTCCGACACACAAACAACGAAGCGTTTCGATGTTTCTCATTGTTTTAAGACTTGTAATTAATTGAATTTCACTGCTTGACCATTTGCATAGCCATTCCATATTTTGACAAACAAAGTTTTTTCGTATTATTGTTGAATGACGAGTAAAAAGTTCATAATTGTGTACAGTGCGCATATGTTTCAATAAATCAAAAGGAACAGAGTAGACAAAAAATACAGCTTCAATAATATCTAACGGAGAGGAATAACTGAGCAATTCCACAATACGTTCATCTACATGAAAACCAACATTATCAAATGGCCATCCAATTTTATAATATCTCCGAATCCATTCATGCTCGTACTTAGCAGGAAATCGAAGCAAAAATTGAAATTGATCGTGTTTAAGAGAAGGTAAATTTGAAGGACTAATCGATTGTTGAAAAGCTAGCAAATTATCTAAAGCTAAACAAAAAAAAAATACAATGTCAATTTTGATATTTCTTTGTATATCACTTTTCAATGCAATGAATCGAATAAAACATAAAATAAGACAATATCAAAAATAAAAGCTCTAATTTGCTATTCTTTCTCTTGTTTCAAACAGCCAATAAACATTCAAGACTAGAGAGCAACAATTATAAGTTAATCATAACTATGAAAATGATTAATATTCGGAAATGTTTTAACCAGTAGTCAATGCGATCTGAAACTTTCACAGTTCGGTTCGCTTTCTATCACCATAGTTTTACCTATTTCTCGCATAAAAAAAAAGTAATTAAATATTCAAAAAAAACTAAAGACTAAAAATATTTCATTGCACCTACATTTATCATATATATCAACCAATGTGAGTGTGTGAAGAAGAGGAAAGGTGAGTGTATTGAATAAAATTAAAAGATCATCGAGTTCTATTTGACGTAAAACAAATGATCGAAGGTTTGTACCAGCAGCATTTGTACAACGGAGATCTTTTTCACATAATTCAAAACATTTTATTGATTGGCCTCTTTTAGATATTGAATCCTTTTGTGGCTGTTCGATAGTTACATTTAAATGTTCGAGTAATGGTAAAGCTTGAGGCATTAAGAGAAGAATAAGTTCAGATGAATGTTGTAAACTAAGAGTCAAGCGTACAGTATGTATCCAATACAATGGATGTTTTATATCGTACAAGTCTTCTATACGTTCCCAACGTTGATATTGATGTCCTAAAAATAAATGCATGACTGTGTAGATTAATTATTGTTAATCAGATAAAACTTCAGTTTGAATTTAAAAGACAGAGTTGTTTGGTTATTTTATTTCTTGTATACGAACCTCGTGTTACTTCAAGTATCATGATTGGATATGAAATACGTTTTTCAACCATTTCTGACAAAATAGAATAATAAGTGTACCATGGATCGTCAAAAACAAGATGAAGATAATGAAGTCGTGATTCGAGAAATGTTGTCAATCTAAGTGCATGAAGTAATGAATACATGCTTGTTATAGCTTCTCGTAAAATATAAATAATTCGTAGAGATGATAATTGCCAATTTGTCTTTGTAGCTATCCATCGATCGATTAGTATTTCATAATCAAATTTATTTTCAAGACAAATCGCATGAGCATGAGAAACAAATTCTGCTTGCCATCGACGATCATGTGAATTATTATCATGATCTTCAAGTAGTTCAAATATTTCAGAATAATATATACCTTTCAAATCAATAGTATGATGAATTAGGTCAGAAGTCAATAGTTGATTCAAACGTCTATTAATACCAGAAAAAGCTCGCCAAACATGGCGTGAAGATAGATAACTAAATATAATAAGCCATATTTCATTCGATAATAATTCAAACGTAAGAGTCATTTTTTTTTGTTTGTTATTACATATTCATTATATCTGTAGAAATATATAATCGATCCATTTATCCTTTTGTTCACTCGTTCAACTGAGACGATGATGCGGTTGGCCGTAAAAATGTCGATAGGAAAAATATCGAAAGAACGAAGAGGAAAAATGTCGAAAGAAAAAATATAGAAGAGGAAAAATGTCGAAAAAAACATATCGACGGAAAAAATGGTTGATGAATATTTTGAAGAGTTGTGAATAGTAAAGAATATGTTTTATTTAGAGTTAATATTAATATTATAACGGTGACCAAATATAGATAATGAAAAAAATTGATTTATCATTTTTCTATTTAGCAACTGTAAGTTGTTGTTTTATTGGAATTGAAAACATAGTCATCGGCTACGGATAAAGATTTTTCTTTATTTGAATTTATAAATGAAATAACTGGAGATATTGATCAAGTTACGTCAGTTGAAGATGTAAGAGTTTCAGCCATGATAATAGAATTTTAGTTATATAATAGTTGTTCGTTTAACCCTTTTATTTAATTTATATCAAGTATTCTTCATCACAACTACGACTGATTAAACTTCTACACTAGTAGAATTATAGGAAACACAACAATGATTTATATGTGATTAGGGTCACCCTTTACAAGAGACATCATCTTTTTCGATATTTTTTTCTTGCGATATTCTTTCACTTTAATATTTACTTTTCGACATTTTTCCTCTTCTAGATTTTTTCTTTTGACATTTTTCTCTTCCGATATTTTTCCAGCATACCGATGGTGCTGCTTCTTATTACATTTTCTTTTTTCTTTGCTCATAACTGCCGTCCAAATTGTAAGGACATATTGTTTTTGTCTACACCAATAATATAGAAAGTGCATTGGATATGAATATGAAACATGTGCTAGTCTACGGTCACACAATCGGGATGAATCATTGAACCATTGTCAAATTGGGAATATTTTAGTGCACTAAATGGTACCACATGCCAGAACACTTTTTCGAAACGATGAGATGCACACAATAGTTTCTTTAGCACTTGGTGAAGGCCGTTTTTTTTTCAGACCATATCGAGTTTTCGAGATATCTGTCTTACAAACAACACAATGCACTATGGAAATATGATTTATGCATTTGCTATAGTTATGTAAGGAGAAAAATTTGAGTTCTGTTGAATTTTCCATTCCGGTCAACACATCGACAAATAAAGGGAAGCCCAATTTGACGAAAAAAAATTCAGACAAATTTTTGAACTTAATGACTATGTTTTTTTGATAGTGGTGGCACTAAGAGTGATCTGTAAATGAATTGGTCGTAGTATTTCGATGATTTAATATTATAGCTACTTTTTCGAGAAGAACTAAAAATGTAATTCGATAGAGAAAATTCTTCTTTATCGAATAATATCAATATATATTAGGGCTCTTAAATTTTTTAAAGTGTATTTGATATTGATTAGCTTAATTCGTTATGCTTTATCTGCTCTGTCTGCCTATTATGTAGATAATAAAATCTGTTATGCTGCTTTTTCACAAGTGAATATTAAATTATCATTTAATAATCATTTTGTTTTATTTGAAAATCCTTTTTTTTTTTTCTTAATTTCAATCAATGAGAGAGATAGACAAGTCGACTTTTGATTCATCATCACTTAAAGTTAAACTAATATTTTATTATAATGATTGTTGAATTTGTCTTTTTTAGTCCTTTAGATTCAATTGATATATGACGAAAAATCGACTCATGGACAATAGTTTGAATTCTATAAAATAACTTATATGCATATATTACAAAACAAAGCAAATAATGTTTCCTTTTTTTTTTGCTGCACTAATGCAAGTTGTTGTTCGGTATTTGATGGTAATTGAGATAATTTTTATTGAATTATTAGAAGAGAATAATCATTGAATATAATATATGCTAACTATATTCGACCTAAATAATAGTAATCAATCATTTTATCAGTTGAATGATTGAGAAAGTTTAGTAGAGAAAAGTCGACAGTTATTCTAGACGAAGAATTCCAGTATGAATAGCAGCAGCTAGAAAAGGAATTATGGATAAATAATTAAATCATCTTACAACTATTTGTTGAAATTTGTAAATTTTGTTTTTTATAAACAATCGATTGGTATTAAGTTGTGTCGCAAAATCGAAAAGTATACTAAACTCCTCCCCGCATTAGAAGACCCCCTCCCATATTAGTAGATCCCCTGGACAAAAAGTTCATTGGGCGTATTAGAAGACTCCTTTAATTAATTAATTTTTTGCCAATTAGGAACTTTAATTAGGGAATTTCCGTCCAGAAGTGCACAGCTTTTAGGTTTTTCTGCTGGAAATCTTTAGAAAGTGAGTCCAAATGTGTCCCTCAACCAGGGTTGCCAGATCGAAAATTAAAAAATCGAAAAATTTTTTCTTAAAATCGGAAAAGTATCGGAATTTTTATTCTCAAAATCAGAAAAAGTCGGAAAGTACTTTTTTAATGCTCAAATAGCTAGTCTGTTTTTTTCTAATAGGCAATATCCTTTATCTTACTTCTATTAATTTTTCGAAGCAATATCTTAAAAAATATTTCATAAAGAATTAAAGAAAATGTAAATTTACTGCTTATTAAGAAATCCACATAAGTCATTTAAACAGCGCCACATTGTTTTTTTCGAAAATCTTATAAGCAACTTGACGGAAGAAAAGAATCAATATTGAAAATTTCATGCACACATGCATTTCACAAAACCTGTGCAAAAGAAACCAAGATTTGTTCTTTATAACATCCGTTTTTGTTCATACTTCCTTATTAGCTCGAGTGTTCTTCAAAACACCAGGTTGAGATAACAGATATTCATAAAAATATCTACAGGAGTAAACAGAACTCACTCTGATTTTTAATTCGGCAACAGTCAATTAAGTACTCCACACGATTAGATTAGTTTTATTATGTTCGCAATGAAACAAAAAAACTCAAAAAGGAAAATATTACTAATTATTAGTATAGTAAACGAATCGAGAAAATTAGGTCATCGTGACAGAAAACTAAATCTTTGTTGTTTGTAAAATATCCTAATTTTTTTGAGGATGAGTTTTCAGAGCACTAAAGTGTGCTTCGTTGAGTTTATGACGCTGCAGCACCGAATAATTACATTGAAATAGATCACAATATATATGCAGTAGCGAGTCATCGTTAAAGGATTCTGGAATATTCTAAGAAGTTGAATTTAGAAGAAAATCCAAAAACAGAAGAAAAATTAGAAAATTGGGAGGTGATCGGAAAAAATCGGGATGTCGTAAAGTCGTCGGAAAAGTTTGCAAAATCGGAATTTTTCCTGCCAAATCGGAAGATCTGGCAACCCTGCCCTCAACTCTCAAAACCGTGAAAATCCCTATGAGAATCCCGAAAATCATCCTGACTTTCTGAAAAACCACATCTAGTTAATAATTGCTAAAAAACCTAGAACATAATAGAAGACCCCCTGAGAAATTTTTATGACGAGACATAATAGAAGACCCAGGATCTTCTAATACGGGGAGAGGTTTAGTCCAAATCTATTAATGGTCATGATTATGCTGAGTCAAACTGATAAAAAAACATTTCTCATCTTCCAAGGTAAAGATTCTCCATATTATATTTTGATATCCTCATTTTCTGCTCAAAAATGAAGTTTTTTATTGGAAATTTAGGAAAAACATACCAGGCAGGCCGCCTGACTACTTTAGACAGCCTAACTGGCCTGTGCCTGTCCTAGGTAGGCGGGCCCGATGGCCTGTTTGGACCTCTTATCGACACCCCGGCTAAAAAATGTTCCTAAGGCCCAAATTCAAGTTTAATTCCATTCAGCATGATCGGCCGGTAATCCTGCTCGTATTGGATTTTCTCTGGTTTAGTATTCCATTATTTGCATTTGTTTTTCACCATAAGTTTTGACTCGTGAAATTTCTCGCCACTATGACTCGAAGAAGGTAATATAAACAAAAGGTAAAAAATAATGTCAAAATTGTTTATGGTAAACGGAGAATAACTAGCTATTGCTTAGGTACTTTGAAATAATGGAGCGACTAGTTGTAAGTGGCGCCTCAGAAAGGCATCGACAACCGACTATAGTCGCTCCTATTTCAGTTCCACTATTGGTTGGTTTTCGACCTGATCTATATAAAGCTAGCTTTTTTTGCGGAATAATACACTAAGATTCTTTTGATGAGGAATTCCATTAAACCTCGGGTTGGCTAGCTAGGCAATGAAATTAAAGGCGTAAGGAATAGTTCACAACAAAGTTTCGGCTTTGGAATTTCTCATGGAGAATTCTCATGTTATAATTCTAACGTCTTTTGAGACTAAGCAGAATCTAGAATCTGGTAGAGTTTAAATGACAGTGCATGATCGTATACCCAAATACAATGAAACATGACAGCGGTTAGCCGCGAGTGGCGCCCCGAAGGAGCGCCGACGAGCGACTAACCGCTGCCCTGCGAAATTCCTCGAAGGAATCTTCAGGCACTTCGAATCCATGGCGAGAATGTCTACTGTTGAGATCTTACTGATTTTAATGGGAACGAGAACTGGCAAAAAAGCTAACAAGTATGTTCGAATGAAGTGTGAGAACAGTTGTGCTGGACGTGCTTAGTATCAGAATAGAACATTTGATGGAAAACGTCAATTAAATAATTTAAATAAATTCATTCGAAGTAGATTTGAATGAAATCAAATGAGTTTTTCTGTCTTTATATATCCTTGTTTCTGTACATTCACTTGTCTAAAGTTCTTTGGATATTTTTGAATTAACTATTTAATCCGACGACGACTTTGAGTACGAGTCTCACTCAATTGGCGCATACCGAGTATTGGTTTGATAAAATATGATTTATTTTAATCTGAAAGTCCTGCTAAACAGACATTTTTGTAGCAGACACTGACAAATGATATTGCCAGTTTATGTACCGGTAACTATACGGATTTTTATTAGAGTTTTCGAGAAGTATAGTGCACTTTTATGCTAGTGTGCGCAGATATGTTTTGTTTGTTGGTTCTGTCTGCAAATTGAATAATCTCTTTTTTCGGAGCCTATGGATATTGCTGTCTTAGTATGGCTCATATAGATTTTCTTTGGGTATTGCTCGTTGAGTGTCAGTTTAAGTGGATGAACTGTATGGCAAACAGTATCACAAAGACACGCATGGCTTTGCACACGCCGACACAGATGCGTATAATCATGTCTGAACTCACATGTAACTTTGTTCAAACATCAGTTGCTAACTTTTGAAAGGGGTATAAAGCAGTAAAAAATACCAAAGCAGTCAAATATTCAGTCGAGGGTCAAGCGAGTCACACAGACGAGCGCTACTTGTGGTTAGCCGAGAATTTATTAAATATAAGTCATCTTATGCTCGACGACAAAGACGTGGCCATTTATTTAATTAATTAGAATCATAATGATATTCTTCGAAACTTTCTATACCTTCATGAAAACTCATTGAGCCATCAGAATAAAATAATATCAAAGTCTCAGTTGGATATCATGGAAAATATCTGCAAAGATTTCAGAAATATATCTTAAATATTCGAAAATTCAAATAGATAAATCAATTTTATTATCAAATTGTTTATTATTAATATCATTTCTATTTATATTATTTTCTTCATATTAAATTGAAAATGATGACAAACAATTATTTAATTATGAAATTTGTTGATCTACACAAACTACAATAGAATTAATTAAGTTAACTATATTTATTTCATTGATTTTGTATTTCATAAAAATTTAGAAAGATTAAATCTTAATGAAAAGTATAAGTATGTTTAAATAAAAGTAGAACAAATCTTTCGGAATACCGGTCATAAATAAGATTATTATTATCATTCATTAAAAGAATAAACACGTAAAAATTTTCTCATCTATAATTTTATAGATCTTCTATTTTATTCTCATAGAGACTTGATATTTACCAGAAGAATTTCCCTCTTTTCTATTTATTCTAAACAAGAAAAAAATGAAAGAATACTTAGGGTTACAACCAAAAGTTCTGATAATGGTGTTATTTCGTCTTATAGTAAGCTTTAAGAATCTATCTTCCCATATAAACTGATAGAGAAAAGAATGCTCTATATTTCTATGCCATTTGATCATACTCCAACTAATTTCATAATCGACCCGTCGATTTCGACTGTTGACTGGCATCGAATCTAAAAATTGAACCTTAACTCTGACACGACCACCTGGGGTCCGCACGGACCCCAGTGAATTTCTTCTTTGTGTTGTACACGCACAACATTAGATCAAATCGCTCTCATCTAGATATGCTCTAGTGAAGACAAGTAAAGTATGGCATTGACATCAACTGTTCATCATCATTCATTGTTTATTAGATATCTTATTGCAAAGTATAAATAAACGCTTGTCGACTACCTGGGGTCCGCCTGGACCCCATATCAGTGAACTAATTTTCGCTCATTTTTTGACCGTAATTTTTTTAATTTGACGTTCTATATCTTTGTTATCGTCTCTTTGAGAATATTCCAGAATGTTCTTATAAGTTGTATAGCTTGTAGACGATTGCAGAACGTTCTAATTTTTACGTTAGATTACTTTCGAAAGCGATTCTATTACTTTTTGGAATGTTGTGCCTATCAAATAAATGGTCGAGTATAACCATCAAGAATACATTCTTACATTCAGTATATATTCTGTTCTCACACTACTTTTTTATTGTGAAACTTTTTGTTACAGATATGTTCACATACCTTCACATTGCTTCAGTTGTTACTCTCCGTTTTCTCTCTGTTCGTCTTTAGCATTCGCTTCTTCTCTATCTGTTCTGTTTTCGTTCTCTTTGCTTACATTCTTTGATTCTTTTTTTCTCTCATCGCGATGCTCTCTGTCTTGGGTCGGATCATTTCGAAATAAAATCGAACTAAAAGAAAGAAGCAGAAGGGACTTTTAACACTTTTCAACATTATATTTGAACACCAATCACTGAGTTTCAATATAAAACTATTTTCAAAAACACAATGACGTCAAACAAGCGATTTGATTCTAATCAACCAACACATTGGCATGAATGTGCTGAACAATTTGAGGAAGACTCAGACGATGAAGGTGGTGATATGACCAATGATCCAGAAAACTTAGAAATACCAGATGGTCTTCAAAGCAGCTCAGAAGAATCAGATGGTGTTCCAATTGAAAACGATTCCGGTGATGAATCTGATAGAAGCTACGCTGAAACCGAACATACCAGCAACGAAGAACCACCAAAACGTCGACCTAAACGTGAACCACTATTGGAGCGACCTGAGGTGAAAATATTTTCAACAAGGTCTGGGCGACAATGGACTACAGAAGAGCCTCCAAAACGAAAAGTGGCACAGGCAAATATTACAAAGCAACGAAGTGGTGCTGGACGACCAGCGACAAATATTCAAACTGTGAAAGAAGCATTTCAACTTCTGATCACGCAAGGAATGACTCTTCTTCTTGTTAGAGGAATTAATCGACGGGCTCATCTGGTCATAAAACAATGGAAGGATCAAAATCCTGGCAAAGAACATCAATGGAAGGAAACAGATAGCGAAGAAATATGGGCTTTCATAGGAATCTTGATCCTTGCAGGTGTTCATAGATCCAAAAATGAAGATCTCGACGATTTATGGTCGACAATCAATGGACCACCAATATTTCGAGCAACTATGGCAAAGAATCGCTTCAAAAGCTTGCTTCGTTTTTGCCGGTTCGACACTATAACCACTAGAGACCAAAGATTGAAAGAAGATAAATTAGCTCCAATCAGAGATTTATGGGTGATGTTCTTAGCTCAACTGCGAATACGTTACACGCCTGGTGAATCTCTAACTGTCGATGAACAACTTATTTCTACTCGTGGTCATTGCCGTCTTCTTCAATATAATCCAAGCAAGCCTGGCAAGTATGGGCTGAAGATATTTTGGTGTTGTGGTTCAAGCACGGCATATCCACTGAGCGGTGAGGTTTATCTTGGGTGCCAGTCTAAAACAGCAGCTGCAGCTAAGAATACAAATTGTATCCGTGATCTGGTGAAACGACTGGTGCATCCATGGATCAACAGTGGTAGGACAGTGACCACAGATAACTATTTTACTAGTGTAGAATTGGCTGAAGATCTTTTGGGACTCAACACTACTCTTGTTGGAACTATGCAACGAAATAAAAAGGAAATTCCACGTGAGCTGCAGCCAGATCGTCAACGTCCTGAACAATCATCAATATTTTGTTTTGATCGGCAACTAACATTGGTTAGCTATGTACCAAAACAATGACTTGCTGTGATTTTGCTGTCTTCAATGCATCATGACAAGGCCGTCAACGATGAGCGAAAAAAGAAACCCGATATTATTTTATACTATAATGATACAAAAGGCGGCGTCGATCGGATGGATCAGATGGTACAAACCTATTCATGTAAGCGAAAAACAAAAAGATGACCCATGACTTTCTTCTTCAGTCTAATCGATGTCGGTGGTATTGCCGCTTTTGTGGTATGGATTAGCAAGAATCCTCAATGGAATGAAAGAAAACGACATCGTCGACGCTTATTTTTAATCCAATTAGGTCATGAACTCGTCGAGCTTTACTTGGATCGACGTTGGCAACAACTACAAGCAATGCAAAGAGAGGTCCGACTAGCTATGCAAACAATTGGACTACCAATTGCTAGTACATTGCCTGACAATGCTTCAGGCGGTGTTGCAAAGCGACGTTGTCAACTTTGTTCAAGAGAACGAGACCGAAAAGTCATTACTCGTTGCACTAGTTGTAATATTCCTTACTGTCCAGATCATCATAAAATCATTTGTAATGTGTCTGTGAGACATTTTTACAGTAAAACATGATAGTAGGAAAGTTTTTAAGAAAATAAACATTGAAGCAACTAAATATAGGGCCTTTTCTATTCCTTATTCATGCGACAACATAGTAGTCATTATCTATAAAGTACTAATATATCATAGTAGTTACTACCTTCATTATGTCTATTTTATTACCTTGGGGTCCACACGGACCCCAGGTGACAACAAGTGATAGTTCTTAAGGTGGTCGTGTCAGGGTTAATAGCTTAATTCTATACAATTTGTAATTTATATATAGGAGTATTCACTTTCAAATTTACTATCTAAACTATTCATTATTAAAATCAGTAGGATTCAACGTAGAACAATGTCTGTATGTACAAAATACAATGTTTCTGAATAATAATACTTTTTGTGGAAATTGTTAAGAATTCTTTTCAATAGATTATATTCAGAAGATTAGTTTAATTAGCAAATGCTGCTTTTGTCTTTGAGTTCGTTTTATAAATCAGTATATCAAACATCTAGATTTGAATTTATCTTCATTCCTGAATGTATCAAACAATAACCTCTTATAACGCAGCATTGAGTTACCTACAATCATAAAAAAGAAAATATCATTATCTAAATTATCGATTCATAGAGAAAGTTTTTTAATGATTTTGAATCACAAATTCTTCTGTGTTTGTGACAAGTTTCACTAGAGAATTATTATTCTATCTTTTGAGTTACTGTATTCACAAGATACGAACTATGAAGTAACGAATTTAATTGACAATCAATAAATCCGATCATCAACACAACATTACTGAATACTAAATATCTATAGCATAATAAAAACTTTATGTTTAATATTAGTTTCATCTTATTCATTATTAATATAAATTATCTATTGTTTATCATGTTTTTTCGATTAATCTATTTCCCAATGGTCTATGTTTCATATTTACAGGAAACAGATATTCTAAATAAAATATTCTCTTGAGATAAATATATGGGGATGACCTATAAGGTATCTAGTTACTCGATAAGGCTCAAGATAAGTTTGAATTCGTACGTAATACAATTATATTTAATGTTGATATCAGAAATTTCTTCATGTAAATATACAAAATAAGTCTTTAACCCTTTACCCCCCATAGAGGTTCCAGAAGAGCTATTGATGAAACAACCATTGGAATAGAGTATTGGTGCCTCCAATATGCTAAAATTACGGTCAGATCGATCAAACGCACACTTGAGTTTTAGGGTAGTTTGTTGAGGGGGAGTAGGGGGATCGATTTGGAAAAAATTTCGTGAACTTTCCATAATACCGACGGAGTTCGGCCAAAAAACGTCGTAGAGAGCTCGTGGACGTCTTATTTTGTAGAGAATTGTTCACTCTATAATTTTACGTCGTTTAAACAAAACTTTATTTTCGGATTGTAGACGGCCAAAAGCTAAGGGTTGATTTTCTGGAAGTCGTTCAGTGACCATTCGATGCTTTACCACATCTTGCCTACCCAATGCTTTTCAAATTTTTGAAACTTATATAATCTACTAGTGGACACTTTCTTTGATGTAAATCACGCAACACGTCGCCAAGATATATATTGCCTAGAGGTAGAAAAAGAATTTTACCAAGAAAATTCCATTTTTTACTTTTTTTGAAAATCATCGATTTTATAAGTTGTATATCTCGGCACTAGCACAGCGAAAAAAATCTTTTTTTTTACTAGTCGATAGCTCATGAAGTTTACTACAAATAGTGCTCTTAGAGGTTTTGAATTCTGTGCTTCCTTTATTTTCTGCAATCGTTCTACAAATGGTCATTCCAGTGACCAAGGGGGGGTAAAGGGTTAAGTCTTTTTCGTGAGACTAGTTTTTACATGAATTATCGAATTCCAGATAAATTATTTTTTCGATATAGTTCGCTCTAGATCAATATCAAAGCAATAATTGGTTGTCTTGAAAAAAAATTGTCTAATGTAAGATTTTTTTTTTGGAGCTCTAAAGTCTTGAGTGCTCCAAAAATTAAATTAAATTAAAATTAAAAAAAAGAATACTTTTCTTCATCCGAAATGATAGGAAGTTCTCTGTCAAATACGAGTACCTCCGAGTATTATAGTTTGAAGTATATTGAAAAGACATTTGCACTCGTGGTGCACTGTGGCACCTGAAGATCTCCTTAATGATGAGATTTAGAGCAGTGAAAATCTTTTTTTTTATTACTAGTGTATCTCTACTGATCGAACATCTTCGGAAAGTTTCATGCACTGTATCACGTGATCAATATTGGAGGAGAGCGGACGGGCTTAATACGTAATACATCTATAAAAATTTATGGTTTATTTCAATCAAGTGATTGACGTCATAGCCGTTGTTTTTCTATAATAAGAAAATGTTGATGATACACAGAAACCAATTGATTTTTTTATTAATAAATAAAACATTCTTTGTTTTTTCAAACAAAATCAGCAGTATTTATATTATAATATGTTTCTTTCAGAAAGCAATCACTACCTAACTATTTTTTCAAAAAAAAAAAAAAAAAAAAAAAAATATTGAGAATATGTAGAAAAAATTAATACAAAAAAAAAAAAAATTTTTTTTTGGAATGCAATTTGCAAGATACAAAAACACGGAATTTATGTATCACATGGAAAAATAAAAGAACATGTCTATTTATCTTAAACAGATCTTCGTACTGCATCGATGAGATCCGTTTTAAATGGATTACTACGTAAATCAATCTGTGACCGAATCATTATATTATCATTATCTTCGGAAGTCGATTGATGACCACGATGTCTTCGTCGAGTACCATATGCACATTTATTTATATTTCCACCTGGTTCAATATATTCACATTGTAATGTATAATGACGTATACAATGTGTTTCAAATATCCGTTGTAATTGTCGTCCAAATAAATCGGTACATGTACTTAATGATAAATCTTCATCACATACAACATGTAATGTTGCAAAAACATCTCGAGCTGTTGCTCTAAAATATATAATTATTGTTGATTTAGAAAAGAAAAAAGAAACAATAAGTTCTATAAGAATATTAAATACCTCCAAACATGAACACTATGTACAGCACGTATTTGTGGAATTGTTTTCATTATTGTTTGAATTAATTGACGTGTATTTATACCCGATGGAACAGCTTCAACAAGAATATGGCCAAGTGACCATATAACAGGAATAGCTTTAATTGCAATAATTACTACCATAACTAATGTTAATGATGGATCTATGTATTTTAACCATAAATTTATTTGTTTACCCTGTTCATTTTTTTGTGGAATAAATTTATTTAATAATCCAGAAAATAATACAATTGAAGACTCGAGAAGAACGGCCTGAATGAAATATATTAATAATTAAATACATAACGAAATACAAAGAAAAGTTTTTTTTGTATTCCTTTTTTTTTGATCTGATTGAACTATAGAAAAAATAACAAACGATGAAAAACCTCTCATTATATTGTAAGCAATTCCAATTAAAAATAATTGATTTTACTCATAAAAGTATCCGATTAGTTTCTATGTTTACGAACAAGAATAGATTTTCCTTTCTATTCAATTTATTATTACACATACGATGTACTCAATAAAACATTGACCGAATAGAACAAAACATTCTGAAGAACACCGGAATTTCCTTGTTGTTTTTTTTTCTATCTATCTATCATGTATATTTACCAATGAATGTAAACAAAGGGCATGTAATGTTGCATAAACACGTGTTTTTTGAAATTCATCATCGAGAACAGAATCATCTTGATTAAGAAAAGATGTCGATGATATTATTGAATCACCACTTTGACTTCTCATTCGTCGAAATTCAACAGGTACACGTAATTGTTGTTCACTCGCATCACTAATACGATCATCTGTCATTGAATGAGTCAATTTCGAAGCAATAAATGCATTTTTATATGTATCATTTAATGATGGCAAAACTAAATTTTGTTTTAATTCTTTTTCTTGTTCGATATTATCATTATTATTATTATCATTATTATTATTATTATTATTATTATTATTATTATTATTATTATTATTATTATTAGTATTAGTATTAGTATTAGTATTTGTTATTGATTCAGTAACAACTAATTCAGGTATAACAATAGGTTGTATAGTTGGTGTACTTGTTTGTCGCATTAATGAATCTTGCATATTTTCACTATTCATATCAATACTACGTAAAGTTGTATAAACACTACGAACAAAATCATTTTTTTTTTGTTCAACGATTTCATGTCCAATATTATGATCATGATGATAGCCACGAAATAAAAATGTTCCCAATAAACCAATAAATACTCCAACTGAACCTAACAAAATCATTGCTGATGCATCTTCAATATGATTTGGATTAGTTAATTTATTAATAGCATCAACTATAATTGGAAGTGAAAGTGATATAAGTAGAACTTCTTGTAATAAACCAGCAAGTATTTCTAAACGTGCCCATCTGAAAACAAAAAGACAAAAAAATAATTAATCATATATAATAAATCTTATTTACCCAAAAGTATTTTTTGAATGTAAACGTTCAGCTTTTGCATAACGTAATGCAATTAATGAACCAACTAATGCAATACCTTCAGCAAATGAAAAAAGTCCATCAGCAATAAGTAATTGTGATCGAGCACGAATTCCATATATTATTTCAGCTATTGCTATACCAATAGTTAATATAAGCATAATTGTCATTCGACCTGTTTTTGACCTTAATATTCGGATGCACCGATGTAGACGATGCCATGCCATCATCTATTTGCTTTTTTGATCTTGTTGATGTTGTTGTTGTTGTTGTTTCTGTTCTTGTCACTAGAACTTACTCTTACATCAATTATAAATAGTCATTGACTCTTTTGAACATAGAGACTAGACAAGAAAATTTAGGATAGAGAAGTTATCATCATTGATCTAGAATTTCTAAGATATATGCATTTCTAATAAAAACAATCAAAAAATATAAACTTGCATGTACGCAGATAGAACATTGATGCTAGATACTATTTACAACTACCAGTTGTTCTATCGAAGAAAATCGATTGAAACAGATGAAATAATAACTAATCTATATTAATTATTTGACATACAAAAATATTGTTTATTTCTATATTTGTATAATGAAATTTATCTAAATTAAGAATTCATTATTAACTACTATAGAGATGATACAACTTATAGTATTTAATAATTATATGTCGGTCGGATTGATAAAATTAATAGATTTTTAACTCAATTAAAACTATATTTACCTTATTTAAATAATGAGAACTTCTAACATGAATTTATATGAAAGGGTAAAGTTTACACATTCTTTCTTCTTTCTTACAATTGTAATTATCAGAAAAGCAAACTTCCTGTAATATTTATTCGGATTCATCACTTCAAATTCACATAAAAGATATAGAATAGAATACTTGTATGATTATTTAAGAATAAGTAATTATTCGACCTAGAAATTGCGCCGAACATTCTCACATCTTAATAAATATAGAGAATAGAAGAAGGAAAGAAAAATGCATATTTCTATTGTTAAAAAATTGGCATTTCATAAAAAACAAAAAAAGAAAAGAAATATTTACTGTAGATGATGGTTAAAAATAAACATAATTAACTCATTCAGATAATTTTAGAAAAAAGCTAATGTTATACAAATTTAATTTGAATAATAAATGGTTGATAATATATTAATAGATATGAATTTTATCGCATGAATGAAACTAAGAGAGTTCTGCATAGTACTTATAAAATTCATAATATAGAGTTGAAAAAAATTACAGACTATGGAATACTAAATAAATCTTTTAGATTTATTTAGAGTAAATTTACTATTAAATATTTAATAAAGTTTACTATTTATGATGATTTATAATAAATTATTACTAGCTACTAGTACTATTCAATCTACTATATTATTAAACAATTCTTTAGTGTTACAATGTGCTAAAATAACGATAAAATGGAAAAGAAAAAAAATATTTTTTTTTTTACTATCACACATTTTTTTGCTTGCCTATCGTATAATGTTGATAATTTGAAATGTTTCTCTCCTATTTTCTCGGCAACTTTCCCTCATCACTAGTAACATACGAATTGTGTTGCAGCTTCTCTACTTTTTGCGCCTTCACTACCACTTCATCTCTGCATGTGCTACTTTGCATTTTTATTCTGTTTGATGCTATCGACGTACTATAGTGTTCTTACCAGCCATGCATAGTCATTCATGTATATAAACTGATCCGTTTTTTTTTCTCCGTTCTACGTGCTATTTCTTTCTAAATAACGTACCCGGAAACGAAATGAGTTGCCTATCCGGCCATCTATTTAGTATATAATCGAATTGCACAAAGAGAAAAATGATTTAACCATTTTCTAGTTATGCTTGTCGTTGTCACTTACTCACTTTGAACCAATTTCTTGCTTTTCTTAGATAAGATCAAATACACTTAAACTAATGCACAAAAACATCATGCAGAGAGAAAAAAGGAAAGACTCATTCCTGTCGAAAATTACGAATATTGAATTTCTGCAATGCTTGTTTTTTGTCTGTCAGATATGTATTCGTCTTTATTATAAATCATCAACAATGACATTGTGTTTTTGATTGTTCTTTATCATGATAAATATGTCTGTGAAAATATGCCAAGTATTTTATCAGTCAAAAAGAAAAAATAATCGATAGAGTAAGGAAATATCTTTTTTATTTTTAAGTAAAATATAAAACAAACAACAATTAATAATGAAATAATCAATGACTAACTAATCATTAAAATAAAATAATAAAAATTCGTCTTTATGTTTTATTGTTTGATTAAACGAACAAAAAACACGTATACAAAGATACATTATTTACCTCTCTATGATTGTTAGTAATATTAGTATTTTCAATATATCAACAATATACACAATGACACTCATCCAATCTACACATTGAATATAAAACAAAAAATAGCAAACTAGGAAATATATATATTGTTTTTTTCAAAGTTATCATAATATTTTCTTTTTAACTTGTTTTTCCCTGAAGACAAAAAAAGAACGTACGTAGGATAATGTAAATAGTTTCAAGTGACAATAAGTTCTCGAGTTTAGATTTTTCTTCTTTCTTTTTTTTATTATTTGTTATAAATATACCAAATGCGAAGTATCTTGAAAATGAAAAGAGAGAAAAAAGAACAAGAAGAATTATGCTTGAGAAAAATTAACCTTGAAAAAAATAATTCCGTTTTTTCCTATTATGTTACAAAAATAAAGGGATTCGATTTTTTTTTCTTCTCTTTTTCATCATTTATTCTTTGTTCTTTTTTGCCATTAAAAATTAATATCATATCTCAACAAGCTTGTTACACTTATATATTAAGAAAATTGAGCAAATGAATAGAGAGTAGTTTAGTGTATTAAATCTTGAAATAAAATTTTTTCTCTAAAAACACTCAGCTACTAATAGATTAAAGAATATGGATTTAATTATTTATTTGATTAGGAAAAAGAAAAAAGAAAATATTCTTTTAATTCTTATGTTTAATTTCAATATGATTTGCTAATCTTTATGGTTATATTGAAGTAATTTGGTTGAAAATGCATATCTAGTTAAAAATAAGATAAATAGAAATTTTCAAATTCTTGCATTATTTCAGTCAAATTAATATTCTATACGAACATATGCTTTTTATTTAGATAAATGTGTGAGTATTTTCATATTTTTTTGTTTTTTTTGTAAATATATATATATATGTATTGCTTTAAAAAACATTTATGTGGAGTTTCTTGTCAATATTTGCATATATCATAGATTCTAATTTGGGCATTTGTAGAATAGATATATTGTACTCAAATGCAATGAAAGCATAATTTCTCATGGGATTTATATTTACACAGCTTGTTAAACTCGATCATATATGTTTATGAAAAACTTTTCATGCATTATATTAGAAAATAAAATGATCGACATTGTTAATCAAATATGACAAATATGCATATAAAAGAACAAGATTTATCACAATTATTAATCATTTTTCTTAATACTTCCTAGTTTTAATTAATGAAAAATTCATATTATAAATAAATATATAAATGACAAAATATTTAGACTTATTATTCTTAGTATATTATTTTATAAAATCTGAATAATTTATTTTTTTCTTTTCATAATTACATAAATTTTCAATGAATATTTATTTGAAAAATAAAAAAAGCAGATAATATATAGAATACAATATTAAAGTTTTATTTTATTTGACTTTGATAAATAGTTAAAGTAATATTATCAAAATAACATGAAAAATTATCTTCGGATATTTCAATACCAAAATAAATTTGAATACGTCGTGTATGTGCTGACACATTATATCGCTGTTCACCATATGCATGCATTGATTTATTCTTATTTAACTCCATGTTTTCCCAAGGTTCTAAAATATCAATGAAAATAAATTATTCAAATTAAATTTAATATATCTTTTACTTGAATAAATTCTTGATGCATGTAAAATATCATTCGAATGATACATATTAATTTCAAAATAAGATTGATGACAATTAGCAAAACCTAAGAAAGAAAATGCAGCATTATTCGTATCAATCAAAACCGAATATGAATGTAAATTAATCTCTTGATAGATTCGTGTTTTAGGTGAAATGATAAATGAACAATTTCCCCAATGATTTTCATTAATTGTTTCATTGTCATTTGTTATATTCTCAATTTTTGCAGTTGATAATATCATATTATGATCAACAGTTTTCCATGTTGTTTGTTGATCAGCAAAGCACTATTTAGTAAAAAAAAAAACAAAAAGAAAACAAACATTATATTTAAATAAATTCTCTACCTCCATTTCAGCATTTCCATTGGAAATTAAATTTTCTTCTGAATTTAATAAACCAAATGACCCATTAGGAAATCGTGCATGATAAAAATCATGTTTAATAATTGAAATTTTTTTTCCTTCTAATTGATCATTAGTTAATTTAGCGTGATATAAATCAGCATTTGTAAAATTATTTCCTTGAACAATATCAGCTTGAAGAAAATCTGCTTGAATAAGTGAAGCTCCATGAAAATTAACATTCATAATTATTGTTTGTATAAAATAGCTTTTATCTAATTTTGTTTCAATTAATGATGCATTTCGAAGCGTTGAATTAATAAATCGAGCATTAATAAGATATGCATGATTTAAATTAGCAAATGTTAAATGACAATTAATAAATATAGCATTCGACCATAATACACCAGGTAAATAAAAATAATGAAAATCATGTGGACATATTAATTCAACATTATTTAAATTAGCTCCATATAAATTTAATTGATTATTTTGAATAAGATTTCTTTCATATAAAAATAAAATAATATCTTTTTTTCGGTTAATATCTAAATTTCTTAATATCATTAATGTTTTTGTTTCTATATGAAGAAGAAATTTTTTATCTATATAATTTTTATCTGTTATTTGTAAAAGTATATTTGATATATCTTGAATATATGTATCAAATGATAATTGTTGTTGTTGATTAAATTGTTCTTGTTGTTTATGTTGATATTTTTGTTGAAAAAATATTTCTTTTTGTATAGAATAGACAATACAAAAACTAAGAAGTACTAATAGAATTAATGTAGATATAAAAACTTTCCAGCAATATAAGCATATTCGTTGATTGTCAAATTTTGAATTATGATCCAATGAAGTCATTGGAACTGGTGATATTGATGGTGTCCAACGATGCATTAATATTCAAGTTTAGAATTTCTTGTTTCTTGTTGTTTTGGCTCTTTGAAATGAATAGAAATAAAATGATCCAAAATGTTGATAATACCTGGCTCATAGGGATATATATATATATATATGTGTGTGTGTATGTGCGTGTTAATAAGATATTCAAATAATCTCTCGTATGATTTATGAGCACGTCTTTAATTGACCTTAGATTAACACGTCAAGTTTTTCTGCTATTATATTTATTCAGTTCTTTTGTTTTTTTCTTTTAACCAATATTATAAACTGAAGATAAAAACATAGTTTTATACTGTTCAAAGAAACGAATAAGAAAAGAAAACAATCCATGATTATATGTAAATGAAATAGATCGAAAAGTATAGAAAAGGAAATCGAAGAAAAGCTTGTCAATAATACCACGATCTAAGTTCAATACTTAGGCTTTGATGCCTAACAACTAATATGAATACTTTATTTGAGAACAAAAACAAACCATCTATGTGATATTTATCATGAATAAATTATTATTTTTTTTTCTATTTATTTTACTATTAATAAATAATTAACAAAACCTTTAGTCACATTTTATATGTCTATGTGATATTTCTGCAAACATTGTACTTAAAACAAACGAGTTAACATACAATAATACAAAATTACCAACAACTTAACAATAAACAAAATAGAATATTTTCTTCTTTTGTTTTTTAATCATTCTTTGATATTGATACAGAACGCTAAGATAATAATAGTGATAGTTAAATTATAATTTAATTCATTATTAAAGAATTTATTATTTTCTATGTTATTGTACATTAAATTATTTATTTTAAATGTTATATGTAAATAAATATTTCATACAAGTATGACTAAGTTTTTGTTAATTATTTATTAATACTAAATTAAATAAAAGATGAAAATTTACTCAAGTAAAATATCAATTCAATCACCTTCATAAGATAGAAATAAAATGTGGAAACCTCGGATTTAAATCCAAGTGTTATGTGTACTCCAAAAAGTAAACATAATTGACGACAGATTGATTTTGATCAAACTGTCGAAAAACAATAGATGACTTAGCCTTCTTGTTTCTTAATGTTTTATATACCGTTTTGTAGCCCGTGAAATTCTCCGTCGAATAGTATATAATAGTTGTGTTTTTTTTGATTATGAGAGAAAAAGTTTTTTACGAAAACCGGGATAGGTCAATGTTCGTATAGAAAAGCACAGAAAATAATGACATCATTTGTTATAACTCAGTAATTCCTTGACGAATCACTCTCATCTTCGAATTGGACCAAGATATTGATGAGATAATTCTATGTGCAAAATTTCATCACAATCAGATTACGCTTTGAAGAGTTGTCGTGTAAAGGGCCGGACACACTGACCGATTCTATAATGTATTCACTTTTTGAGTACACAAAAAGAATGCTGGTGTGGGTGTGAAGTGGTGCTGGTAAGTTCCCTCTTTATCCACACCCATTAGTAATGACAAAAAGTCAGCAAATTGTTAGAACAATAGTATCATACACAGAAACATGCACATAAACAAGATAGTTTTGAAGTACAGTAAAATCTCTCTACTGTGAGCACCATTCGGACTAAAAAAAGGTACTCAGTTTACGGAGATGCTCATTATTGGGAGGCTTTTAAATGTTTTTTTTTTCAAATGACAAATATCCATATAAAATTACTTTCGATAATGTAAGGTGATATTTCTCTTCTTTTCAATAATTCATTAATTCAAATATTCATTAATTTCGTTTCTAAGATTACTTTTTATTTGTCTTCCTATCTCATTCGATTGATTTAACATATAAACACCTGAATATTGTTATTTGCGCTTCAAAATATTATTTAAAGCATCTATTGATATTTTATATTTGGTTGCTAAATCTCTTTGTGATAAAGAGCGTTCATAATCTTGTATTAATTCAATTATTTTCATCAAAGGTAAATTAATACGTGTTAACATGATTTGATGTAGCTAACTGTTAGCACAAAGTGACATGATATTTCATCAGTGGCTGTTGTTACTGTCAGAGAATTTTTTTTTCCTTAATTTGATCAGTTAGTCCATCTCGTCCTTATATGTTATGTGATTATTTATTATAATACAATTCGCGTAATAGAATTTTTTCTCATTCTTTAGATGAAAAGTAGAACACAGGTTGCTCACATTATAGAAGTTTTTCTTACTTAAGGGACTGAAAAAAAAACCGCTCACTGCTCAGAATAAAGAGATGCTTATAATTGAAAGGTTCATTTTCAGCACAGATCTTTTGGGCGGTCTTTAGATCGTTCAGTATAAGGAGGTGTTCATAATTGAGAAGTGCTTATATAGAGAGGTTTTACTATAATACTTTTGTGCAAAGAAAAGTTGAAAGATTATCAAACTCTATTTCTCAGAAGAAGCATGTCTTATCGACTTGAGTTTTTCATTGTTTGTAAGAGCAACCTCTAGAAAAGAATTTTGCTTGATAGACTTTTTTTTTTAATTATTTCCTTCGAACAGCATATCAATATTTTAGCGTTTAACCTTAAAACAATGTTTATTGGACCAAAACATGTGCTTGATAATAGTATTACTATTTTACTATTTAAACAATACGGGTTTTACATTAGCAAAATCAAAAATAAATTTAAATTATTTGATGAAGCTAAAAAATCCTATATGTAAACATGATTTGATAGAGTCTATGTAGATGATTGCATCAAAAGAGAGTACAAACAGTCAGATTATGAAGAAAACTTGATTGCTACTCTCATTTTAAGCAAAAATGTTCAAAGTAATCCGATGTATTATACTAAAAAAATGATTTGATATTCTTTCCATCTTTTTTGTATTACATTTATGCTTGTCATTTATCTCGAAATCAGTAACAAAAAAAGACCTCGGACCGACTCGAACCGAATCGAATTTCTATGGCTGGAATCGCGCTGTTTGTTTTTCTTATTTCATTCTTCCTTTACCTATCCTAGTGCATTCAGATATATTTTTTCACCACTTCTTCTCGTTACCATTATCTAATATTTTCATTCTTTTACACCACGTGTAAAATTTACATCGTCTGGAGTAGTTTGCATTTGTTCAAGTTTTTGTTTTTAGAGTTTTCCTGCGTCGTAGATATAGCTTTATAATCATACCAGATCTCGATAATAAGTGAAGTGACCTTTCTGTGGCTGAATATCTAAGGGAAATTTCGGCAATATTGGTTCGAATCTCTCTATAATTTTCCATAGTTCAACGTGTTATTTGCTATTAATAATCATATTTGAAAGAAAAACATATATGAATCAGTTAGTAGGGACTCCGAAACTCCAAATATGTTTGTAGTCTCGTGGAATCCCTTAGAGTCTGCTGTTTCCCTTAGTATCTTCGCTCCAGTAAACGAAATCCTCGAACTCTCTTCCAAGTATTCATAGCTCATTAAAATCTACGTGATGCACATAATTCCGACTCGAAAGCTATTAGTCAGTTGAAAAAATTCCCTCTTTGAGTGTAGAACATTTTGTGCATCGTATTTTTGTTTGCAGATATATATCTGAAGGTTCAGAATTGACATTCAAAGAAACAAGTTAACTTAATGATTCGTAATAGAGTTGCCAAGGAAACATATACTATATGCAGAAAATGGCGATATGACTTTCATCAAATTTCTAAATCTACTTCCGAAAAATTCTGATTTACTTAAAACTAACATAAGTCGATATTCGTTTCAGTACAAATCGATATGTAAACTTCTAAAATTGGTTTCGATAACTTTCATTGAATACAAACAAAGAACAGAAACTATGAGTTATATAAAATATCATATGAGAATGACATGAAATTTTTTGAAAGTTTACCACTGGAATAAATCATGCTTTTTTTTCTAATTCTCTTTTCTTACAATAGCATCGTTTTTGAATGTTTTCTTGGTGCTTAACAATTAATATGAATACTTTATTTGAGAACAAAAAACTATCTATGTGATATTTAACATGAATAAATTATCATTTTTTTTTCTATTTATTTTACTATTAATAAATAATTAACAAAAACTTTAGTCACATTTTATATTTCTATGTGATATTTCTGCAAACATTGTACTTAAAACAAACGGCTTAACATACAATAATACAAAATTACCAACAACTTAACAATAAACAAAATAGAATATTTTCTCCTTTTGTTTTTTAATCATTCTTTGATATTGATACAGAACGCTAAGATAATAATAGTGATAGTTAAATTATGATTTAAATCATTATTAAAGAATTTATTATTTTCTATGTTATTGTATATTAAATTATTTATTCTAAATTTTATGCGTGAATAAGTCTTTCATACAAGTATGACTAAGTTTTTGTTAATTATTTATTAATACTAAATTAAATAAAAGATGAAAATTTACTCAAGTAAAATATCAATTCAATGATCTTACTAAGATTAAAAAAAAGGGACAAACATGAATTTCATCGCACTGACTTTCTTGTAATAGATTTTCGACAATTATTGAAAATTAGTACGATGATATTCTTGTTATTCTAAGAAAGGCATATAAGATTTATCGAATTTTTTCAAACTATAATAGAATTCTAAATGCCAAACAAAAAGAAATAAAGTGTCTGCAAAAAACAAATTGTGTTTCATTGGTATAAGCCATAACATGTATCACTCTGTTTATTAGAAGGAAGATTAAGATTGTATTGTAAACTAACAATGTTCAGAAAAATAATTTTCGTCTTCACTCATATTTGGTGGAAATGTTCTTGTTTCATGAATTATTCGTGTTGATGGTTGAGACATATCTTCGTCTTGTTTATTTTCATCTCCTATTTCATCAGCTGTTGATTTTGTTGTTGTTAAACCATTTCGTTCACCAGTTGTATCACCTGCTTGAATTTCTGCTTTGACTTCAAGTTGAGATGGTGAATTACTTGATGATTTTCTATTATTTATTCTATTTTGTAGACCAATAACATCATTATCTGAACTAACATTTGTCATTTGTTGTTCACTAAAA